AATAGTTGTTAAAAATTGTGGACCATGGGTTTTCAAACTGTGGGACATCTGGGTGATCTCAAAACACTTTCAGGAGTCCAAGGAATCAACAATGTTCGTAATACCCATGGGATTACTTATGTCTTTCATTCTCATTCTCTCATGAGAATACCCTGAAGTATCTTGGACTACATGCTGTGCGACATCACAAATGATTGCATGACTGCAGATGGCCTTCTGTCACACTGGACACCAAAGGAAGTCTCTAAAACGGAAAACAAGCGAGGCCTCTGTGGCTCATTCCTATGTATAATCCTAGCTACTCAGAAGCCAGCTTGGGCAGAAAAGTCCAGGAGACTCTTATCTCTAGTTAGCCACTAAAAAGCCAGAAGTGAAGCTGTGGGTCAAATTGTAAAGCTCTAGCTTTGAGCAAAAATAAAGCTCAGGAGCAGAGCCCAGACCCTGAATTCAAATCCCAGGATCAACATACAGAGAGAGAGAGGGGGTGGGGGGGAGAGGGTGGGAGAAGGAGAGAGGGAAAGGGAGAGAGGGGGGGGAGGGGAGAGAAAACAGGGCTGCTCATTTATTTTATTTTATTTTTTTTTGCCAGTCCTGGGGCTTGAACTCAGGGTCTGGGCCCTGTCCTTGAGCTTCTTTTGTTCAAGGCTAGCACTCTACCACTAGCACAGCACCACTTCTGCCCTTTTCTGTGTATGTAGTACTGGGGAATGGAACCCAGGGTTTTATGCCTACTAGGCAAGCCACATTCCCAGCTCTCATCTCAGTTTTTTTTTTAAGTTTGGAAGTTATTTCTTTTCAGACAATGTAAATGATATTTCAGATGTATATTCTTCTGAAATGAAAATATTTATTTCTTGTTTTAATGGCTAATGCTATCACTATATCTATAGTGATATAAAGCTTTTACAGAATGCTTTAAAAACTTAGTATATAGCCAGACACAAGTGGCTCATGCCTATAAAACAATCTCAGGAGACTAAGGCTAATGCCTATAATACTCAAGAGACTAAGATCTGTATAGTTTTTTTTTTGTCGGTCGTGGGGCTTGAACTCTGGGCCTGGGTGTTGTCCCTCAGCTCTTCAACTCAAGGCGAGCGCTCTACCACTTGAGCTACAGTGCCACTGAGACTAAGATCTGAAAGCCATGATTTAATGTCAGCCCAGGCAAAAAGTTTGTGAGACCCTTACCTTCAATTAATCACCCAAAATCTAGAAGTGGAGCTGTGGCTCGAGTGGTAAAGAACCAACCTTGATTGCAAAAGCTAAGAGACAGCATCAAGCCCTGAGTTCAAGCCCCAATACCAGTATACACACGCACCAAATTAATTGATTAAAAAAATTCTGTGACCAAAAATATTTGACAATTGTCCTATAAAATTAATAATTAATAGTTAATAATTCTTAGCTGGACACTGTGCCCATTGTTCTGCTGATTGTGTCTATACTGGGCTGAGCCATCAGCTAGTTTGAGATCTTCCGGTAGACCAGTCCAGCGAATGGAATTCCAACTCCTTGAACACACATAGGTTGCTTCTATTCTTTCTGACAACAGGCATCACCACCACCTTGATCCATATCTCAGTACTGTCACAAGCCAATGACTAGCTAAAAAACAAACGAAAGTCTCATAAAAATGCATAACATATGGCTAAGAGAGATAAAACAATAAAACAATGCCTCACTTTTTTTTTTAATACATGCTATCAAATTGAAAAAAGAACAATATTCTAGGAAGGCCCACAAGAGTCTGTAAAGTATATGCTTGATGGTGATAGCGCTGAGGACCCACCCAAGGCAAATGACAGCCATCCCTGTGGCATGCCTGGGAACATTTCTCTTCAGAGCATCACAGGCAACTCCTTTTAAAAGACCATGGCCAGTTCTGTCCTTAGCTTGTAGAAAGTGGCAAATGCTGGAGGGTTTGAAGTGTGGCCCTATGTTGATCAGCACACAGGTTTTCAGAGGGAGAGGGAGAGGGAAGGGGAGAGGGAGTGAGGGAGATCAGGGCACAGTTACTGACAAGTCGGGTGGAGTAATTGCTAGATGCCTGTCATATAAGCTGTGTTTCTTTGATTTCAGTGCCATGTGTTGCCTTGGATCTTTTGGAAACAGAAAATTTTTCTGCTCTCTACTTCATTACATGGAACAGATGTTGCTTTATGTTTTCAACCCAATTTTCAGAATGAGCAGAGTATCCAATTACAGTACTTGATCCTAAACACAGAAAAAAGGAAACTGGCTAACTGGCCACTTACACAGGAGTTTTAAGAAAGTTCCAGCCATCTTGCTGTTGCATTTCTGCCCTACAAAAGTATAGTCTAAGAAGAAAAATAATACAGCCTGCTAATAGATGGGAAGTGAAATAAGATGTTCACTTACACTCTGAGAGGAACTTAGACAATATGCAGTAAACTCACCAGGAAGGGCCGTATATTACTGAGTGCCTGTTCTCCTTCATCTCCTTACGTCTAAAATGGAAAGCTTGTTCTTGCAATATTTAACAGAGATCCAAAAGAAAAAGAAAAAAAAAGAAAGGAAAGAAAAAAATGCATGACTCAGTATTTTCAGATTATCACAAACCTATTCAGCTTGTGAATCTTATTAAAGTCAAAATATTGAGTCAATTCATCAGCACTAAGCTATAAGATTCTTGCTTTATGCCGGCTTTAAAAGCAGGCCTTGATGGAGAAGGTCCATTTACGTAACAATGCTGTTACTCAATGTCCTTGCATTTTTCTGCACATGCTATCTTAATGGAAATTTACTGGAAAATTCTTGCCAGAATAAACTGCATTCCTTCAGGAATGAAAGGCTTAATGTACTTCTAGCTCAACTGTACCTCTTTCCTGGGAGCAGATAAACCAAATTATTTGGCATTAGTTATTGTACTTCACACAGGTTGCAATACTTATTGTGGTTTCCCATGGCTACAGGAGATAAGGATAAGAAAGAATAAGGTAGCCAGTCTTTCCCTGCAATGAGAGATGAAACAAAAGCAAAATAGAATACACACACATCTATATGTATTTATGTATATACACATGCATATGAACATATATACATGTGTATATACATGCATATACATGTGTGTATATCTATACATATATATATATAATTTGATATGAAATAAACAAAAATTTAATCTGACAGGCATTGTATCCATTACCTTTTAACTGTCCTGGTAAGGACAGAATTGGTTAAACTCTGTGAACTGAACCATTGAGAGGAGTAATTTTCTCATTAACAATTTAAAATGAGAGTGAAAATTCTGCCATAGAAATGTTTTGGTCATATAGTGGCCACTAGTGCCAGACCAAGGGACCAAGGTGTTACACAGGGTTATAAACAGGATGACTGGGGCTAGAGAAAGAAAGTACCCCTTGGCTTAAGAAAGGGATGGGGCAAACAATGAACAATGGAGAGGAGAGGAAAAAGAGGTACAAACATGTCTAGATTTCCTCTAGTCCTGAATATCTACCCATCACCACCTTGGGAGCTACTGACCAGAGATTATTACAAAGCTCAGTTGGCCTTGAACTTGTGTTCTTTCTGTCTCAACCTTTATGCTGCATGTTGGGATTACATAAAGGTACCACCATACCTGGTGCCAAGGAGTCGTTTTAGTGGTTGTTTATCCACTCATGCAAGCAATATTAAACGTATACAACTGTCTTTAAGGGAATAAAACTGTTGTATTAGAATAGTATAGTTAACTCTCAGTCAAAAGTGTTTATTTATGGCAGTAGGCAATTAAGTTCACTAACTTGCTAACAGACCAGTTGGAAAAAAGCTGCAGTAGATTTGCCCAGAGTTTTGTGACCCTGTCCCTCATGCAGTAGTACAACACTACTGTTCTAAATAATAATGAGAAAGGGCAGGTTTAACGTGTGAGAATGTTCAGACATTATTAAGATTTCTATTTTATTATGCTTCATTTTATTTTCAGTATGTACAAGAAGTAAAACCAATGTAGGAAATTACTACTTCATAGATGTCTTTCTTGGGAGATAAAAGAACAATTTGAACTTAGAATATTAAAACAGTTTTTCACAAAAAATGTTCCCATACAAATTGTACTTTAAAAAGTATATATATATATATATATATACATACATACACACATATATATATTTACATATATGTATATGTAAATATACCATAGCTGAAAATTTTCATCTTTAATTAGGTGCTATTTTCTATCTGTAAATAATTCACATAAAAATTTAACATTTCTGTGATGTATGGATTTTTATTATGGGCTTTAATTCACAGATAAAATGTTAAAATCAGTAAAAAAATATAGTTTACTTGAATTATAAAGATAATCTCATCAATTTATCCTCTTTATAAGTAATACCTGTGATAAATAGCTGAGGTAATTCCAGGCAATGCAAAAGTTTGATAAAGTTTTATCCATATTGCAAAGTAATTAATACATGGATGTCATGAGTACAATTATAACTAAAGGCTTAAAATTCCAACAGCAGAATGTAACAACAAACTTCACCTTTCAATTTTTATTTCAGTTTTTAAAATAAAATGGAAACTCAAACACTCTCTTCATCAGTTGCAAATATTTGTTATATAAGAGTTGACTGAATTTGATTATAAGCACAAATGATAAATATGTTATTTCAAGCTTCTTTCCAATTCTATTCATTAAGAGCCGGTAATGAAGATTCATCCTGCCATTTTCTTAAAAGAGAGATTCAGATCAACGTGATTCCAAAATAATTTGAGTGTCACATAAATGGAAAGTTCATTACCACATTGATATTTGTTCTTCACCATACTTGTTTATAGAAAGCATGAAACTCTTAACAAGCATCTTATAATCAGCAGCACCTCCACAATAAACAGTTTCAAAATTTTTATCTTCTTTACTTAGTACAATTAAAGGTTTTTCCAAATTCTGTATAGTTCAGTGCTATAATGTTTTAGAAAGTGTACTGCATCTCTATGTACTAAAATGAGCCATCTTTTTCTTTTGAATCGTTTAGCCGAAGACATGGCCATTATAACATGAACCAAGAAAGCACCGCTCCCAGAGTTGCAGAGAGGCCTCCATTTGACAGATCCAGTTCCCAGGATTCCTTGGACGAATTATCTATGGAGGATTATTGGACAGAGCTAGAAAATATCAAGAAATCCAGTGAAAGCAGACAACAAGATCAAGAAGTGGTAGTTGTCAAGGAGCCTGATGGTAATAAATAAAACTTGTCTGTATATGTATTTAGATAAAGGAATACAGAGAGAGGAAGAAGAGAACATCCAAATATTACATTGGCAGTTGCTTTTCCACTTGAATATTACTTGCCTGTCAGATTTATAGATGTAGCTCCAGATACAATGTAATGAGCAAATTCATTTAGTTGAAGCTCAGCCTAACTTGGTAGCCTCTTAGCCAAGTTAAGCTTTTCTTTGAAATTGACTATTGCCTTTCATTCCTTCCATAAGTTTCTCTACACATAGTCAATTGGTCTCCAGGAAGTGTTTTGAAAAGCACATAACTTGGCAGTGATACTGGTTTCCTAGGAGTCCGTCTCCTTGATTTGTTTTGATCTTTATTTTATCGATTGATGTCTGGCTATCTTCTAACTTTGACTTCACTTGGTGTAGTTTTTTTTCTGCCTCTGAGAAGAACCAAACAAGTTCATTCTACTGTTTCTTTCATGGCAGACTTACAAATATTCAGGAATATCTACCTTGTTTTTAGCCAGATCTTTTCTACAGGAAAATTGTTATCAAAACTTGTGAGTGGCAGTCTGTCATATTAGTCAATGTATTGTACTCCAGATTTGATGAAATGCTACTTAACCTTTGGTATCCACAGGTCTATGGTTCCAAGGACAATACCATTCAGGAAAAAACATAAATACTTAGGCTTAGAGTTCAGTATTTTAAAATCATTAAATATACTTATCCCATACATAGATCCAGAACGTTAAACTACATAGAGGAGAACATTACTGTCATAAGACTTACTCTTGAACACATTAACACTGTTAACCAAAAACTAGATCTTTTTCATGCTTTTATCTTGAATACTACAAATACTTTCATCTTTTCTGTAATGCCACCCAACTCTCACTAATGACCTGTGCCTTTAAACAAATCTAAAATTTTCACTTAACCACTTCGGTTAAGCACAACATATATACTCTTTTTTGGCCTGGCAGGATTACCATAACTTTTACGTTTGTGTTTTAGGTACTGGTTGCTTTTATGGAAGGCATATTTTCACAAAAGTAAGAGCTCTCACCATCAGTTTTGACATATATTAGCTTTTTTCTATGCCACCCATAAATTTGTAAATCTATTGTGGTCTATCAGTGGAGATACAAAATGCCAAAAAGGTAAAGCCACAAGTCAGTGCTTTGTCATTCACTAATAGAAACTTCTTCTCAACAGACTTAACTAAATGACTTTGAGACTGAGACAAGTGTACATATATGTGTATATATATATGTTTAGTGTTTTCTCCTCTACTACAAAATTGCTTGGAAATTTTCTTAATAATAATGCCAAAGGAAAAGTTAGACAAGTTTTGTTTGCTTAGGATACATCTTACAATGTAGCCCAGTCTAACCTTCCACTTGTAAACCTCTTGTCTCAGTCTTCTGATTGCTGGATAGATTTTTTTTCTTAACTTAACATTTCTTAGATCTATTGAAGAAAAGTATATCCAAGAAACTCTCCAAAGTTGAACTCCATTCACTGATTGTCGCATAGAATCCGTAGTATTCAAAAAGAACGGAAATAGACCTATGTGCTTACCTTTTCTCAACTTAAAAAAACTTTAGTCATCTTACTTTTATTGCCATGGCAACAACTTTTTTTTCCCTGCCATTTGATTTCGTGTACCTATACTATGTTTTACCTTAACTGCCTTAATAGTAACGGTTGATTTTTACAACAGTGAACAATTTTTGGAATCTTTGGGTCCCTCAGATGCATTAGACCACACAAGTGGAGGGCCCACTGGATTTATTTATTTTCTATTTGCAATGTTTTGAATTCATGTGGCTATTTTAGCTAGTTTCTTATAAGAGCTCTATATGCTTTCTTTGTTGTTGTTGAAAGTTGAGGGACATGTTTAATTTGTAAAAAATATAGTTTGATGTGTTGACTTGTAGGATTTGAGAAAGAAAATTTAATTTGCATTAGTTCCAGTGTTCACATGCTCTTCTTCTTCTTTCTTTCTTTCTTCTTTTTTTCTTTTTTTCTTTCTTTCTTTCTTTCTTTCTTCTTTCTTTCTTCTTTCTTTCTTTCTTTTCTTTCTTTCGTCTCTCTCTCTCTTTCTTTCTTCTTTCTGGGGCATGTGGGAGGGGGGAGTACTGGAGTGTGGACTCAGAACCTCATACTTGTTAAATCTTTGCTTTTGGTTGCTTTTCAGATAATCTTGCCTCAGGGAATGATCTTCCTACTTATACCTCCCTTGTAACCAGGATTACTGATGCACATCATTCATTGTGCCTGGCTTTCTGGTTCAGATTAAGACCCACTAACTTCTTTTCCACGCTGGCCTCAAAACCTCTATCTTCCTGATCTCTGATTTCCAAGTAGCTGGATTGTAGGCTTGAGCCACCACACCTGTTACCCCATCTCTCCTATTTTTTCTTTGAGGTAAGGTCTTGTTGTATAGCTCAGGCTGGCTTCAAAAGTGCATTCTTCCTGTTTCACTCTCCTAAGTGCTGGGATTGCAGGCATGCATCCACATGCCTGTCAGTGCTCTTTACTTCTTTTCCACGTATTCTCTCAGATACTACAAAGAGAAAAAACAAGCCTTCCCATAAATTAATGTTGGGCTCTGAGATACTGCTGTATTTAAGCCAAGAGCTTGGACTTGAATATATTACCCAGGTATGCCTCCTTCAGTAATTTGATGGATGAGAGCAAGTTATCTTCTTACCTGTTTGCTTTTTATCTGAGAGGGGAGCAGTATTATCCTCCCTACTTAATCTGCAGGGAAATTGTGGAGGTTAATTACATGTGGAGTAATTTAAAAATTTTTAATTGAGTATATATGAAATTGACCTAAAATTTGCTATTTCTCTGGCCAGAGTGGATGGCAGCTCTCCAAATTTCAGATAATGATTCTCAGCACTGAAGAGTTTCAGTAAGAAATAAAACTTTTTTTTTTCTTGTCTTTTCTTTTTTGGTACTAAAGATCGAACCCAGGGTATTATATACTGGCTTATCAAGCCCTTTGCCATGAAGCTACATCTCAGTCCCTGAGTAAGAATATTTTTACAGCTTAAAATATGTGAAAATGCTTTGTGAGTTAAAAACCATTTTCTCCATATTGTTCTAGAAGGAGAACTGGAAGAAGAGTGGCTTAAAGAGGCCGGTTTGTCTAATCTCTTTGGTGAGTCAGTGGATGATCCACAAGAAAGCATGGTATTTTTATCTACATTGACCCGGACCCAGGCAGCAGCTGTTCAGAAACGCATAGAGACAGTCTCCCAGACCCTGAGGAAGAAAAACAAACAACATCACATTCCTGATGTCAGAGACATATTTGCTCAGCAGAAAGAATCGAAAGAAAAAGTGAGTTTTCTTTCTCATATGAATGAGGCCAAGGGTTCATGGCTTAGCTTATGCTGTACCAGTCTATTTGAAATGAAATCATTCAAACATAATGATCTTCCGCGATATACATAGACCAGAGCTCTGTACTTGCAGTTCACAAGAAGGTCTTGGTCCCTGGCTTCTAGAAGTGACCCTTCAGGGGCAAGTTAAGCATAATCAAATCCAACATGGTGCCCTTGGAATGTTTTCTGTGATTCTTGTAGGAAGATTCATTAAATAGTAGAGCGGGAGGGAGCTGATTGCAAATGAAGTACAAAACAGAAACCTTGAGATGTAGAATACTGTCCTCTTTGTGTTAAGTGCTTGGAACCATCTCTAGTACATGGGAGATTTGAGTGAACACTTGTCTGGATTGTTTATTATTATAATGCATTGAAGATCATTCTTCTTATTTTGTGGTTCTAACATGTGAACTCAGGGCCTTGTACTTGCTAGGTAGGTGCTGTACCCATTCAGCCATGCTTCTACCCTTTTTTGTTTTAATTATTTCTGAGATAGGGTGTCATGATTTTGTCTAGGGCAGGCTGGATTTTGCTTCCCATGTAGCTGGAATGAGCATTTGTCTATTGGTTGAGATGGGGTTTTTATGGACTTCCTTGCCTAGATTTCCCACCTCTGCTTCCTGAATAAATACGATCACAGATGTGACCCACATTGCCCAGCCTGGATGGTTGGTTAAATAACTAATGGAACAATCTGGAATCTTCTAGAATCTGGAATCTGTAATGACTAATGAATGAACTGCTATCAGAGAAGGTACAGTAGAAGCACTGGAGCTGTGTGACCCAGAACAAGCAGTGCTACTCAAAATAGCCAGCTAGTAAATTACTTATTATTCATCCATGCAAGTGACCATGCTTTCTTCAAGAAAATCTTGCTACCAAGAAAATGAGATGAAGCAAACAGAGCCATTTGCATTCTGCCCTGGGAAGACCTAGTGTGATGGTTGAACTGAGAGCAGAGAAGAGTCTTGAACAGTGGTTGTGGTGATAACGAGTAGCAGAAACAGTTGCTCCCCACTATTACACCCCATGCTAATGCAGTACCTGCTTTATCTCATTTAGTCCCACAGCTGCCTTACAAACAAGCTATTATCATTTCCATTCTATGGCTGAGGCTCATAGACTCTTAAGCTCAATGTCCCGTACATACTAAACCCAAATTTCTCTGGCTCTAAAGTACATGCATTTAACCATTCTCTTTCCTGCTATATTTTCATTTCCAAACACTATTCTGAGAATAAGCAATGTGAATATTACAGTCTCTTTACACTATAAATGGAAGGTGATAAAGATTTCATTATTCTTCATAAAACAATGGAATTGAAGGGAATTTATTGAAGGTATTATTCTGTTCCATAGAGCTTCACCCCCCCCACCCCCCCGCTTTGGCATTTTATTCTTCCAAGAAATCCTCTCTAGCTGCAGATTGCTTCTCTGCTTGCCCGGCCAACTGTGGCTCAAACCTACTCCTTTTCCAAGAATTCTGAGGTTACTTGATTGTTTGAGGCCCCTGGATAAATGGTTTATCATCCTGTGGGACATTCAAAGAACTCCTGAAAGACTGAACTCCATTTCCAGCTGTAGAAAAATAAAAAGGGAATAGAGTCTTAGGACATTTCCTTTACAGTTAAAGAATTAATCCTGAAGAGGCTAAGAGGAAGTAAAAAAAAAGGTTGAGTTAGCAAAGCTGAGCCCCAGCAAGTCTCCAAGAGGGATTGCTACCCAGTGCTAGGAATAATTTTTTAGTACAATTAGGAAATTTCTGAACACATAGTTTGGAGTTCAAGTTTATTGATTGATTGTATCACCTGATGGAATCATTAAGAGAGAACAAACACCAGCATATTCAAATACTGTCTAGCCAGGTGCTGGTGGCTCACACCTGTAATCTTAGCTACTCAGGAAGCTAAGCTCTGAGGATTGTGTGTGAAGCCAGCCTGGAAGGAAAGTTCATGAGACTCTTATATCCAATAAAACAATGACGACCCAGAAGTAGAGCTGGGACTCAAATGTAGGTGTGCCACCCTTGAGTGAAAATGCTATAAAGGGACATAACCCAGGTCCAGAGTTCTAGGATCACTACTGGCACAATTAACAAACAAATAATCAAACAAGTAAAATAGTGTCTACTTGTTTATACTGCATGCCTTTATTTAAAACATCTCTACTCTCCTATTAGGAGTTTTCTTGACATTTTCCATCCCACAAGCAGATAGAACACCCATAACTCTGTTCTCTAGTAAGAATGAATTGAGCTCTTCCTTTTACATACTTTCTCATGAAGCCCTCGCTGACACTAGGAAATATGATACAGAAATGGATATCATCTGCAGTGCAGTGCCGTGTTCACTTGCTTTATAAACAGCTGACCACAAACCTCAAAATATCTGTTCACAAGAAAGGGAAGAATCACTTAGGGTTTGCATTGTGCTATGAAAAGACTAGCCCGCTGTGCATTTGTGGACAGAGGAAAGAGAATGATAATTGCTTTGTCCTGGGGCCCATTAGTGTGGTGCCATGTATTCATCTGCCACCGGTGTGAGATAGGAGGTACAATGAACATTTAAATAGTACATTCATCATATACACACATATATGAATACATACACACACACACTTGCCCTAGTGTAATTTTTACACTTTTGGTGGAAGCACACTCCTTTATGGCTAATAGATGGAGGTGAAATGTACGATAAGGGGTTGACAAAGGCTTCTGTTGATAGTGATGGATTCTGATGATTAAACTTTTTTCAGTCTGAAGGGGACCTCCCTGATCCCCTCAATCCTTCCAAAGCCTTTTCTAGAAAGAAGGCACACTGTCTGACCCTACTTACTGGTGAAAGGAGCTACCCATGGCTCAACACATACATTAACCAATGGGGGTTGAATTCCTCAGGCATCCATTATTGTTGTCTGGATAACTCTTACGAGTTCTATCATTTTTATGATTTGTTTTTTTTATTTTTTCTCCCCAAAGAATTTCTTCTGACAAGTCACCTTGCAATTTGGCTTATAATAGCATTATTGAGATATAATTCACAAACCATACAATTCACCTGGTTAATGTATGAAGGCCCGTTGCAGTCTATGCCCATAACCCCAGTCCTCAGGAAGCTGAAACAGAAGGATTGAGAGTTTAAGGCTAATATGTACTACATAGTGAGATCATACTTAAAACACAAAACCAACCACCAAACAATATAGCGCATGATTTGGTAAATTTTACTATGTTCACAAGAGTTTTTACCACCACTCCAGTTCATTTTAGTTCATTTTCCTCATCCTTGGCCCAAGGGAAAGCCCTTACTCATTAATAGTTACTCTCAGTAGCTCCCTTGTCTACGGCCATACCACCCTGAGCACGCCCGATCTCACCAGTAGCCCCCTTACTGCGTCTAGGGACCACCGATCTAGTTTGTCTTTCTTAAGTTGCCTATTCCAAACATTTCATGTAAATGGACTTGTAAAACATAAGACACTTTGTGACTGATTCCTTTCTTTTAGCATAATGCTTTCAAAGTTAATCTACACGTTGAAGCATGCATTGGTTTTTCACTTCTTTGTTTTGCTGAATAATACTCCATTGTGTGGAGCAGACCTCCTTTTGTTCATCCACTCATCACTTAATGGCTATCACAAGTTTTTGAACAAGCTTATTTTTCTTGCCCAAACAGTATTTATATACATATATAAATACATATACATACATATATACACATATACACACACATATACACATATATACACACACACACATGCCAGTACTAGGGCTTGAACTCATGGATTTGTGCTCTTGTGTAGCTTTTTTGTTCAGGACTGTCACTCTGCCACTTGAGCCACACCTCCACTTCTAGCTTTTGAGTGGTTATTTGGAGATAATAGTCTCACAGCCATACCTGCCTGAGCTAGTTTGGGACCACAATCAGATCTCAGATCTTAGCCGCTTAAGTACCTATACAGGCTTGAGCCATTGTGCCAAGCTTTCAGATAATAATATTGCTGATGGTGAAAAAATATTTTATACCTTCCCTGTAGAGTGTAGTATTGTTTCTTATATTTTGTGTTTTACACTGTGGGCAATCATATATTTGTTGGATGATCGCTTGTTGATTATAACCATGGTACTCTTTATCAGTCTGATCACATTTCTGTTACTGTAAAGGTTATGATGGAATTATTTACCATACCATTTTCTCTGGTTGTAAGTGGTGATGACTAAATGGCTCATTTTCTATGTTTAGACTCCAGATGGCACTGAATTGCAGTCAGTAAGAACAAATGAAAACAAATACGAAGGAAAAGATGGTATGTTGGTCCTGTTCTCTTGTTTTCCCCCCTCCCCCTTTAATTAGTTCAATAAACACTTACAACCTTGTAAAATATTCTCCTTCAATTCCACTAAGCAAATTCTATTAAAATTCAAATGTAAATTCCTAAGTGGTTAATGACAGAAAACAGAACGTATAGTTGTTTCGTATATTCTTATCTGATCTGACATCCATATATATATTTTCCCAAATACTTACGATGTGCTAGGAACTATACAGATACGAGTACCTCATTTAATCCACTTACCAGTGCCGAGTGCAGGCTGAGAATATGGCTTAGTGGTAGAGTGCTTGCCTTGCATGCATGAAGCCCAGTTCTACATAAACAGAAACAGCCCAAAGTGGTACTGTGGCTCAAATGGTAGAGTACTAGCCTTGAGCAAATGAACCTCACGGACAGTGCCCAGGCTCCTCTGAGTTCAAGCCCCAGGACTGGCAAAAAAAAAGAAGAAGAAGAAGAAGAAGAGTGCTGAGTTCTTTCTAAAACTATCTCAGATAGGAAGTAAAACTTCAAGGCATAGAAGAAAGTATTAAGGTTATAGTGGTGCTTCCCAAGGGAAATGGTAGAGCTCTTTTGTGTATAGATAGAACACATGTCCTAAATAAAGGACATGTCCTAAATAAACTTCAGCTTAAAAATGTGGTTGCTCATTGTTATTCAACAAACTATAACAAACTTGAGCTTAGATCTTAGTGCCTGGGGCATTTGTGCCATTCATAGTGTTGCAGCCTGGGGCAGACTGGTGAAAGTCAGAATAGGAAATGTTCCTAACCTTCCTGTCAAAAATCATCCACTGGGCCAAGGTTATATGGAAGGTTTTAGTCTTGAAGCATCCAGTATTTCTATGTTTAGTCCATATTGTTATTAGAATTATTCTGTACTCTTAGTTTTTGGTGTTATTATTTTTTGGAATATAAAACGTGCATCTATGTGTGCTAATGAATCTGCCCACACATATGCATATATTTCTATTTACAAAACACTTGCTTTTCTTTCCTATTCTGTGATGCTTTCTGTAGTTACACCTATTGTATTAGAGCAAGCAAGTTGGCATAGCTCTCCTTGGCCTGCTAAGAACTGGGTCCTCAGAGACAGAGTGAACGCTTTTTAACCAGTGTCAATGTGCTTTGGGTTTTGGGGACAACTGACAAGCAGTTGTCTAACAGATATTGAGGCAAAGAGTGTTTTGTTTTGTTTTCTTCATGCTTTCATTCTTTGTCAGCGATTGTAACGTAGGCTAGACTACATCAACAAAAGTTCTGGAAGACAAGTTTATTATGTGAGCACTTTCCTACCAAGATTGTAGCCAACAAGGGAAATATGACAAACCTACCGCCTGATTTACATCTGCTGGAATGCTAGGCGGTGGCATCAAGCCTCCATTTGAATAACAAGGTGTATCACCATCCAAGTCACTGGGTGGGCACTGCCGCACCGGTTCTGGGCAATGGCATGCACTTTCTCTCTCCAGTTAACTAACCGTGTTTTGCAAACATTGGAAGCTTCAGGATGAAACCTTTGGAAATGTTGTCTCTGGTTTCAGAGCAAGGCTGAAAGGCATAGATGATAGAGTCTATTTTAACCACTTTTTCCATACAGGGTTTTTCAGACATAGTCAATTGATAATATTCCCAAATTAATAGTTTTACTTTGGATATTACCTGTGGGTCTTCACATTAATCCACCACTAAGTGTCCATCTTCAATTTTGCCTAATCATGCCACCCTGTAAGAACCTAGTGTTTCATATACACATTGAGAAATACTAGGCATGTCCAAATGTGTTTTTGAATCCTCTTCTTCCTCTTCCTCCTCTCCCTCCTCTCCCTCTTCTCCCTCCTCCATTTCTACTTCCTCTCTTCCTTCTCCTCCTCTCCCCTCCTCCTCCTCCTCCCTCTCCTCCTCCTCCCCCTTCTTCCTTCTCTTCTTCCTCCTCCTCTTCTTCCTTCTCCTCCTCCTCTTCTTCCTCCTCCTCCTCTTCTTCTTTTTCTTTCTTCTCCTCCTCCTCATTTCTTCTTCTAGTCCTTCTTTCTTCTTCCTTCTTTCTTCTTCCTTCTCTTCTCTTCTTTGATGCCAGTTGTGGGGCTTGAACTCAGGGCCTAGGTGTCATCCTTGAGATTCTTTTTCTCAAGGCTAGCACTCTACCACTTGAGCCACAGTGCCACTTCTGGCTTTTTTCTGAGTAGTTTATTTGAGAAGAGAGTTTCACAGACTTTCCTGTCCAAGGCTGTCTTTGAACCACGATCCTCAGATCTCAGCCTCTGAGTGGTTACAATTACAGGCATTGAGTCACCAGTGCCTGGCTGAACTTGCATATTTAAATGTGTACTATATTATTTTCTTTTGGATTTCCATGAAGACGAAACAGTGTACTTTTTAAAAACGACATTTCTGAATAGTTTGACTAACTGAAAAAGTTTTAAAAGATTTGTAAAATTTGCAACCTATACTATTGTCCACTTGAAACAAAGCAGATAGATTAAGAAAATTAAGATATTTATACTTGAAGACTTTAAGAGCCAAATGTATATCTTGTATTGTCTTTTAGGTTTTCTATTTGAGGATAGAGCATTGATTCATCATCAATTTTCTTTTTCTTTCCTTCCTTTCTTCCTATTCATTTTTTTGTCAGTTGTGGGGCTTGAACTCTGGGCCTGAGTGTTGTCCCTCAGCTCTTCAGCTCAAGGCTAGCACTCTACCACTTGGGCCACAGCACCACTTCCGGCTTATTCTGCTTATGTGGTGCAGAGGAATCAAACCCAGGGCCTCATGCGTGTAAGGCAAGCACTCTGCCACTGAGCCACCTTCCCAGCCCTGTTTTTGTTTTTCTTGTTTGCTTTTTTCTGTTTGTTTTTCTTCCAATTCTTTTTTGGTTTGTATTTCTAGGACTTAATTTAGGGTCTTGGAGCTATTGTTTAGCTTTTTCGCTGGAGGCTAATATCCTGTCACTTGAACTACAACACCCACTTCAGTCTTTTTGCTGGTTAATTGGAGATCAGAGTCTCATAGGTATTTCCGTCTCAGCTATGAAGGATCCTCAGATCTCAGTCTCCTGAGTAGCTAGGATTACAGGAGTGCCACCAGCACCCTGAGATTAATTTGTGAATGTTTTAAAACATTGAACCATCCATTTTTTTTTTTATTGTAGTGACCCCAACCATCCCTGTTATTATTTCTCCTACTACTTCTTCCATTGGGACTGAGGTTTAATTTTTGCTGTGTTTCTGGAGGAAATCCATGTGTTCTAAATGTGCTCTAACTTAACTATAACTACTCAATTTTTAATTCAGCCTGCTGCATTTATCTTGGTACATGTATTCAGGGGTGATTATTGTAACCCTGATATGTAGGTTTCATGGAAAATAGTTTTTAAGTTCTTGTCCATAAACACTCAGCTGCTGAAAGGTAGCTTCTAATTTAAGAAAAGGTCTAATCATTTTTTTCCCTCTCAGAGTGGTTTCCTAGGAAACCAATATATGTATTCACAGCAAAGCATAAAGTAGTGTAAACCAATGGGAAAATAAAATTAAACTGTGCTTTAACACGTATCTTAATACCTTAAAATCTAATAATAAAAATTATAGGTATTCCAAAAGCTGTCACAGGCTTTGACATAAATGGTAGCCTACAATACTAGTATCAACGAAGCTGAAATTGATTCTTATTTATTCTGAGGGATGGCACCAATACCCGTGAGGTTTTTGTTTGGATTCCAAGATAGCAACAGTGAAGTCTTAATCCACAGTTAGCCCTTCTGAAATCCTTGAATAACCACATAGGCTGAGTACCCACAAAAACCTCTTTGCTTACTTAAAGGAAGTTTATTAGATGCACATATAGGAATATCATGATAAAATCTCTTAGAAAGTACTAGTTGATACACTAAAAAATTTTAATCCAGGCACTCTTAGCTGACACTTGTAATCCTAGCTACTCAGAAGGTTGAGCCCTGGAGGATTGTTCTTTAAAGCCGTACTTGGTAGAGAATGACTGTAGACTCTGTCTCCAAAATAATTAGCAGAAAGCCTGGCTGAGTGCTTGGCTCAAGTGGTAGATTGCCAGCTGAGTAAGTAAGCTCAATGATGCACTGAGTTCAAAGGCTGATCATCCTTGTCCCTCTCACAAAAAAAAAAAAATGGAGTGAAAAAGATTAGATTCACATTGACTTCTTAATTTCATTTTGATGAAACAGTTTTACTTTTAAATTAAATGACTAGAATCATTTCTCTGAACAGCAGGCATATCTATGATCTATCTGTCTGTCTGATGTATTTATTATATTTTTAAAGTGACTTTACATTCCATCACTTTGTATCTCCTGTGAGCTTGTTAGTATAGAAACATGGACATGAATTACATACATTCATTCTTTAATTGTAAGCTTTTTACCCTGAATCCAAAGTCTGCAATGAAAGGTGTGATCACAGTCTTTGTACTTGAGTTTTTCTAAAGAGAGTTGCATTAAAATAAAAGTTTTACCAAATAGTCTTACAATTATTTTCTTTAAAGATTAAAGCTTGTGTTTTCTTCAGGGATTTTTTTTTACATGTTCATTCTTTCCTAGAGGATTTAAAACAAACCAACAAAATAAGTCAAAACAAAGTGATTATATTGCGCACACTTGAAATATTGGTGTGAATATCCTCAATTTACTGGTACTAGTGGCTGTAGGAGGTGCCTGTGCCAGGTACCTTTAAACTCAAATCCCGTAGTGATAAGGTTTTGGCATTAACTTCTGTTTTGGAATTTGTACCCTGACAGGTAGGTAACATTCCATTCAAGCAGCTCAGGGTGTGGAAGAAGTTGTTCCCAGGAATCTGTTGAGTTGAGGCAATGAAGTGGTATGCCGCTCTATCTCACGGGGATCACAGCAGTCTCTCCTCTCTTTTTGTTTTTGTTTTTTGTTTTTCTCTTTAATTCTTCAATGTAGAATAAAACAACAGGTACATGAACTGGATTTAGGAGGTTTTCTTCCATCAAGAGTTTTATATTGTTCATTAAGGTTTTGAATTTAGACCTTGTATCAAAACAGTGATCTTGAAGAAAGATTCCACAAGTGAATCATGGGTTTCTAGTCACTACTGTCTCCCTGTCTCCTCCCCACAAACCATTATGAAGATGCCTGAGTCTACTTTTTTATTGTTAAAACACAGTTAACTACTGCCTGGAGGAAATAGTGCTCTTCACAATGGTTTTTATGTAGTTACTACATTAGAGGTCAGGGAGAAGGAAGGAAGGAAGGAAGGAGAGAAGGAAGGAAGGAAGGGAGGGAGGGAGGGAGGGAGGGAGAGAAAGAAAGAAAGGAAGAAAGAAAAAGAAAGAGAGAGAGAGAGGAAGGGAGGGAGGGAGGGAGAGAAAGAAAGAAAGGAAGAAAGAAAAAGAAAGAGAGAGAGAGAGGAAGGGAGGGAGGGAGGGAGGAAGGAAGGAAAGAAGGAAGGAAGGAAGGAAGGAAGGAAGAGGTAGGAAGGAAGGAAGGAAGGAAGGAAGAGGAAGGAAGGAAGGAAGGAAGGAAAGAGGCAATCATATGAATTGATTTTTGTTTTCCCCCCTCTCCAGACCAGTCATCTAGCCTCATTGTTGCTAATAAGGATCTGGTGGTACTGGTGCCTGAAGATACACCTGCCTCTGAAGCAGACATCAACCTGGAGGTGTCATTTGCAGAACAAGCTGTGGATGAGGAAGAGAACTCCAAGGATAAGACTTGGAAGAACAAAGGCTGTGATGCCTCATTACCTGTACGTACAACATATTCAGATATCACTAATAGTGTTCCTGCTCATGAGCTTTTTATATTTTGAAGGTTGAGACTATCACAGAAGATTTGAAAGCATAACAGCAAACACACTATAGCTTTCATAGAGAATCAGCAATTATTAATATTTCATAACCTATCTATATCTGTTGTATATGTATGGTGCTGGCATATAATTTCTTTAGAGATTTCCAAGTACATACAAACAAAACAATTATAAAATATAGATGAAACTGGACACTAACATGTTAGCTAAATTTAATAGACTCATGAAAATAGTTGCAGTCATTACAAGATGTTTGTTTAGGGCTTGTCACTTCTCTTCTCCATGTGGGATTTGAGGGGATATATGTTGCATTGCCTGTCTTATTTGTTTAGGTGTTTTTGAATTGAGACCTCTCTCTGATATTCTTTTTCTTTAATATTTTTGAAGAGTGCAGAATAATTTTCTGGATTTGTCTAGTTTCTTCCTCGTGACTGGATTCAAGTTAGGCATTAAATATGAACTGCACAGATTGTTTCTGCCTCTGATTGCATTATCACAACAGGTGCATGCTGTCAGGTGGTCACTACTGATGATGGAAGTTTGGTCACAAACTTGACTAAGGAAATGTTCACTTGTTCTCCTTAGAATAACTTTTTCTACTGTGCAATTTACACTAAGCTGCAGTCTTTGAAACAAGGTGGATCTAGGTGATAGCAACTTTGTGTGTGTGTGTGTGTGTGTGTGTGTGTGTGTGCGCGCACGTGTGCATGCACGCAGGACCTGGGGTTTGCACTCAGGATCTGGGCACTGTCCTTGAGCTTTTGTGCTCAAGACCAGTGATCTACCACTTAAGTCACAGATCTGTTTGCCATTTCTTTTGTAGTTAATTGGGGAATATCATATGCTTTCCTGCTAGGTAGGGCTGACTTTGAACTGTATCCTCAGATCTCACACTCCTAAGTAGCTAGGATTACAGGCAGGAGTCACCAGCACTTGGCAATGATAGGAACTTTTTGCCCAGTGATTTCGTCATCCCCAGGTAAACTTGTCTGAAACCATTAACTCTTGTTGGAGAAACGTTGATTTTCTGATTCCATTATACCTTCTATATTATTTGTTTGGCAATCTTCTATAATTGGCTTTCCTTTTCTTTTCTCTTTTCGGTTTTAAATGACATGTTTGACTGGTGACTTCTTTTTTTTTATTCAGTGTTTTATAAACCAGTGTAATTTCTTTTTGATGTTCAAATTTACACCACCTTTGCCAGTGAGAGCCCCTTCCAGCTGGTTTCTCTCCTATTTTATCATGCTCTCATCATTCTTGTGCTTTTTTTTCCTTCCTAGCACAAGATGTTCTGAGTTCACCTTGTAATTTTCTCCCCTCAGACTTGAAAGCAGCCAAGCCTTCAAGAAACTGATTCCTTTCAGAAGCAAATGACATTTATGATCCAAGATCTATGTACATGGTTCTCATTATTCCTGAATACCTTGAAAATATATTAATTTACTGAGAATAGCACTCATGCAAGTGCTACAATAAATGATAGCGTAAGCTTTCAAATACTCTTATCCAACCTCCAAGCTCAATAATGACGTTCAGTCTGTATCCCTTTCCAATTTCTTATTCTCTTTTATTTTGAAACAGCCCTGAATTATACTTATCATCTATAAATATTTATGTTACTAATAAACAGATTTTTACAACATATGTTGTTGTTATAGCTTAAGATAGGCTAACAAGCTCTTTAAAGCAAATATTCAGTGTTCAAATACGAAATTGTATACTAAATTTCATATCCTTTTTGTACATTTTGATAGTCTATATATTGCAATTGGCTGATAGGTCTTTTAGACTCTACATCTATCCTTTTTCCTATTTTTTTCTTTCTTCCTTGTATTTTTTCCTTCCTCCTTACTTTTCTTTTGTCTCTTTCCCTTCATGCCTCTTCCTCGCCGCCCCCTGTTGGTCCATCTGTCTGTCTCTCCCTCTCTCTTCCCCAAAATTCAGTGGTTAAAGAAGATTTGTTATTGATCTGTAAACAATTTTTTCCTTTGGTTAATTCTATACCCATAGTGTAGTTTGACATCTTTTTCTTTATAAATTAGCTGACTATAATATATTAGATTTAGGTCTAGTGCTTTTGTCAAGACATCTTTAAATATGTGACAGTATATTTTTTTTTTCCAGGAGAGACAACATTTTTCTGTTTTTGTTGAAATTAATTGCTATAATGGACCCATACGTAGATTTATTAGTTTACTGATGTTTGCAAAATGATATTGTAGTATTTTGTTTGTCATTTCATTTGGATATTTCTTTTTCTTTTTTTTTTTGTTGGCCATGGGGGCAGAACTCTGGGCCTGGGTGCTGTCCCTCAGCTCTTCAGCTCAAGGCTAGTGCCCTACCACTTGAGCCACAGTGCCACTTACAGCTTTTTTCTGCCTTTGTGGTGCTGAGAAATCGAACCCAGGGCCTCATGCATATGAGGCAAGCACTCTACCACTGAGCCACCTTCTCAGCCCTCACTTGGATGTGTCTTTTAGGAAAAGTTCCCTCAATGTAGTCACTTAGAATCCATTTCACTAGTGACCAGTTCATGTTGTTTGGTGTTTATTTTATAAAAGCAGCGTCTTAGTTCATGGATTCATACATATTTGACACAACTCTTGATAAATGCCCAGGCTATCTAGAATAGTTTCTGCTGTAGACCTAAAATTGTCTACTTCTGTGAAAATCCCTGGTTCTATTTAGTAGAAATACAGTTTTGAACACTGGGAGTGTTTAGTTCTCAGAGGTGATCATGACTTTCAAGCCTTCTCAAAAGACAGACATGTATCTTCTCTCTTCCATGTAGCGAACTGTAATTCTTGGAAATGTCAGGTTATATATTTAGAATAACACATGAGCACTTGTTTAGTCTATGTTGTAGTAATGCACTGCTTTCTCAGAATAACAATGCTCACCACCTTCAATCTGAACACTAGAAATGCTTTAGACTTGGTTTTCTTCAGCTGTTTGTGTCCCTGGAATAGATTATTAGGCTTCAGGTTGCTTTTCATTGTTAATTCTCTTGATGGTCATGCTATTAGCTGCATACCTGCCCAAATGCATTTGCTTCATTTTATTCACAACTTCGAGATTGCTCTTATGAAAGGTAATTTTATTTCATAATAGTATAAAATATTTATGTAGTACAGAGGTCATAGCCAATAACAAAAATATCTGAAAAGTCTAGCTTGGAGCAGGGTACCCATAGTTCATGCCTGTAATCCTAACAAGTTAAGGAAGGTTGAGATTGCAAGAATTGAAGTTCAGGCGAGAGTGAATAGCAAAGTCTGAAAAATGTTGTCTCCATAGAGGGAAGCTGGAAATGGTGTGTCCCTGTGAACCCAGCAGTGACGGGGAGCTTATAGTAAGTAGTTGGATTGCAGCTAAAGTACTCACCTATGCAGAAAGCAAGACCTAAAAATAGCAAGCAAAAATACAGGGTTGGAGGCCTAAGTCAGTGGCAGAGCACCTGCATAGCAATTGTGAGGAACCAAAATTACAAGTCTAGGATTTTTTCCCCCTTGAGTCAATCAGCTTTTAGTTTCACCTCTTAGATGCAAATTTTAATTTTAAAATTATGGCTTATCCATCAGTGTTGGATCATTGGTCCACGCTACGTATTTTTTTTTTAATATTTTATTTGTGAACATACTGTACAGAGGGGTTACAATTACATGGGCAGGATAATGCGTACATTTCTTACCAAGTATTGCAGCCTCCTCCTTTGTTTACCCTTCACATCCCTTCCCAGCCTCCCCCCTCCCCCCCCCAGTCCCAATCCTTCCCCCCTCCCACCCCCCCCACCCCCCCCAAACCCCCCAAACCCCTCCACCACCCCCCCCCCCCGGCACCGACGTTGTAACGCTCATTTTGGACATGACAACTTGTACTTCTCATTGTTGCAACAGGTCCACCTGTATCCTTAAACGACTTGTTTTTCCCCATCTCCTCCACAAGTTATACTGACATCAAATATAGTGAAAGCAGGGGTTATACTGTGGGGGAGGGACATACAAAGCAACAAAGAAATAATCTTATAAATGCATTAGAAACACGTGCATGAAAGAAAAAACATTAAAATACATATCTAAGGGTTCATTTTCCTAACATCACATTATCTGACCTTTTCCGCTTGACTCATACATATACTAGATATTGCAAATAAGGGAAACCATGGGGCCTATGTTTCTTTGGGCCTGGCTTACTTCGCTTAACCATGCTACGTATTTTATTTTATTTCATTGATTTACGCTTGACTTTGTAGTGTATTCTCCAGACCACACCATAGTAGTATAAGGAAATACTTCTCATTTCTTTTTATAGAATGTGGTCCTCTCCAGTGAGGCTATACCATGATTTATTAAACCTGTCCCATGACTGGCATCTGATTGTTTCAAAATTACTCATAAACCTGAAAGAATCATTTTTTAATCCCCAGTGGGAAAAATTAATGGAGTTGGCAAAATTTTGGCATAAGGATAACCTATACTCCCAGAATCTTCTTAACAAAATGGAAATTTTCTAACTGATTATTGATTCAAACAATTGAATAGAATTAGTCCTATTTAATAACAGATTTGCATTTAGCTACCCGCTTGGTTTGGTTCATGTTGTGTCTACATTGAAGAATGATGTTTCTTCTTCCTCTCAGTTTGCCAACAAATCCTTCATTCACCCTCTGAGGTGAGCTCAGTATTTCTCTTTCCCACATCGTCTTGCCCCATGGTGAACTTAATGTTAATAAAATACTTGAAATAATTTCTTATTAGTAACATGCTTTTAGTTTTTGTTTGTTTTGTTTTGTTTTTGTTGGTCATTGGGCTTGAACTCTGGGTCTGGGCACTGTCTCTAAGCTCTTCAGCTCAAGACGAGCACTCTACCACTTGAGCCACAGCACTACTACTGGTTTTCTGGTGGTTTATTGGAGATAAGAGTCTCACAGACTTTCCTGCCCAGGCTGGCTTTGAACTGCGATCCTCAGATCTTAGCCTCCTGAATAACTAGGATTATAGGTGTGAGCCACCAGTGCCCAGCTCACATACTTTCAGTTTTGTATATATGCATCTATTCATTTCTACATTCATTTTCTTGAAATTTGTCTTCTAGAAGACAGGAACATGGTGTAAAGTCTCTTCAGGACCTTAAAGTGGTTAATGAACTAATTACTTAGTCACTACATAGAAGTGGATGTCTAAGCAGATAAAACTTTTAAGTTCCCTTTGTATTCCATGCTCTTCTGCTCTGTAAGTGAGCAAGAGGCTTTATGAAATACACGGCTCTCCTTAACCTCATTTTACCTTCATTTCATTTTTCATAGAGCATAGAGCAGTCTTTGTTGGTTGTTTATGATCTCTTGGAGTGGATTTATATTTCTGAAATATGAAGATCTGTTTTTTATAACTCTGAATGTTGTACTCCATAAAGTGTACACAGTAAGACCCAGAAATTATGCTCTGGAATTATTTCATTCATTAGTCAGATGATCTCTGGGGAATAGATATTATTATCCCTGTTTTTCAAATGAGCAAACAGGTTACATAGAAGTATACCAGGGCTTGACCTCAGTGACTAAGCTTTTGAAGCTTTTCTCTTTCTTTCCAAGTTGAAGCTAGAGTGATTTGATAAATAGAAAAGTGAAGAAATCATCAGTAATGATGATTACTGATTAAATGCCGAGTCCTTCTCTTACATCATAAAGTACACTAAAGAGGGGGTATAGTCATGGAGAACTAACTAGCTATTTTATGTAACATATAAGAGCCCCTGATCTTTTAACTTTTGAATTATTGAATTTTATCCTTTGCTTTAAATGTGTTTGAAAAGACAAAAAGAGCTTTTCTCCTACAGAAAATTTGCTGTCTTCTCTTAACCCAAGGAACTGAACCATCCAGTCTATTAGTTCAACAAAGACAAAAATGAAATAAAAAAATGAAACAGGAAGCTTCATACATATTTAAAGCAGCCACTATGAATTAAACATTGGGATAAAGGACTAACTCCTTCATTAAGCACTGTGTTAAAATAAATAAAAAAATAAATAAGTTTATGACATATTGCTAGGTAAATCAAACATTTGAATTAATAATATTTCAGGTTTCTCTAAATATTTACCATGAGTAATGCTTTAAATAATTACATTGCATGTGTTTGATTAGACCAAAAGCAACTGATTTCAGCAAAACATTTAGGATTTTATTTTTTAAAGTGTTAATGGGTAAATATGATTGTTCCAGAAAATAAAGCCATTAACAGAAATATGGGGCCTGGCATGGGAACAATGTGATAAGGTTTACAGGAAGCTCAAGTTTTATGTAAAGCTTAGGCTTGGGATATAGTTCGTTGGTAGCATACTTGCCTTCATGACAAAGCCAGGAACTAGAAAAAGAAAACATTAAACCTCAGAGAAAATCAGAAGACTCTGAAGAATATTAGTGAGAGTTTTTTTTTAGCCTCACCAAGGGTGATTCTGTGCTTTTCTCCTTCAGGGTTATGTCTTTATTCATTCAGTCGACCATAGCAGAGTAGTTGAAGCATGCCAGCCCTGTGGTTAAGAGGTTTAAGGGTGGTGAAGATGTAGCTCTTGTCCTTGAAGGAAGAACAGTCCTGGATCAACAGCTATCAACCCAAATTTATACCGCCAGCCTGGTGGTTGGGAAAATCAGGTAGAACAGATTGATTACTGAGCAAAGGATTCAGAGATCTGAATTTGTACCCTACGTCACTGGTTATGTGTCTGTGCTTAAGCTTTTAATACTGAGCCTCAGTTTCCCCACCATTTTTACCCTGTAATGACTTTTATCAAATATAATGAGAAACCATTTACTAAATATGAGTGTTATCTTTAGCTATAATAATTTTTCTTTGTCATAATATTTAGTAGAAATGGAATTTATGAATATTAAATAATTTTAAAAGTTAAATGAAAATATAATGTAGTAATCTTCCTTTCTTCTTTTCTTTCTTCCTTTTTTCTTTTTTTTTTTGGTGTGTGTGTGTGTGTGTGTGTATGTGTGTTGGTTCTGAGACTGGAACTTGGGACCTGAATGCTGTCCCTGAGCACTCATTTTGTTCAGGTTCCATGTTGGGCAGTTACTTAGACATAAGAATCTTACGAGGGTGGGAAGGTGGTTCAGTGGTAGAGTGCTTGCCTTGCATGCATGAGGCTCTGGGTTCGATTCCTCAGCACCACATAAGCAAAAAAGCCTGAAGTGGCGCTGTGGCTCAAGTGGTAGAGCTCTAGCCTTGAGCTGAAGAGCTGAGGGACAGCGCCCAGGCCCAGAGTTCAGGCCCCACAACTGGACCCCCAACCCCCCCCCCCCAAAAAAAAAAAAGAATCACAAACTTTCCTGCTCAGGCTGGCTTCGAACCACAATGGACAAGTGTCATTTACCCTCCTGAGTAGCTAGGATTACAGGAGTAGTAACAGCAGCTTTTTGAGTGTTTACTATGTTCCATTTGATTTTTATCACATCATACCTAATGAGGAGGAGCCTGGTGCTAATCCTGGACTATGCATTGAGGGCCTCTGCTTTCGGATGTCTCATCCTGATGTTAGATCAAAACGTGTTGATGGCAGCATTCAAAAATCAGCAAACCAGAAAGAAGAAAAGGGAATCAGATGGATAACCTTTGTAATTAAATAAGGAAGGCTGGGGTAAACTCCCCACTTGTAATATTGATGACAATTTTTTTTTTTGTCAGTCGGAGGGCTTGAACTCTGGGCCTGGGCGCTGTCCCTCAGCTCTTCAGCTCAAGACTAGCACTCTACCACTTGAGCCACAGTGCCATATCTAACGACAAAATTTTTATCCATCTATAGAGAATGACTATTGTTTTATGTAGCAAACACAGCAGGACTGTCATTTTCATTAAACATGCCAGAGAAAGTTGTTTTGTGTCTTGCTTTCTTATATTTCATGTGTTTAATGTTAAAGATAGTAGATGATTTAAGAAAAGTACAAAACAGCAGACATACCACTTGTCTGCATTCCTACTGATGAAAGAAATAAGCACCTCAAAGTAGTTTGGAAGTCTGAACATTTAAGCCTGATCTCAGAGTTTAGAATTAGGTGACCTCCTTCAGTGAATTGCCAAATCATATAGCTAGCTAGTAAATAGTTGGAAGACTGGTAAGCCTCTGTCTCTAAACTTCTGTGCCCAACTCTCCTTTGTTCTATAACCTTTCATACTAATGTTATGTCTTTAATGACAGAAGAGATATCATGTATACAAAGTATATGCCTTTATATTCTATGCACAAACTCATGACTACCATTTACTTTGTTCTTCCTCCTGATTATCTTTCTCATGTTTTCTAACTTTTCCGCCTCTTTCCCTCCCATGATTCATGCCTGACTTCTAATCTTTGGTTCTTTATTAAAAATTTATTTATTTTTATGATCATTAAGTAGTTACATAAAAGGGTTTCAGTTCAGCAGTTATGAGTATAATCTTGAAGTCCTGTCTTCTTCGGGCTCATTGCCGCTGTTGTCCATAGTAACATTGATATTAGTCCACGCTGTCCATGGTCAGATTCCATTAGTCAGAATTCAGATATAAACTCTTGAACTCTCCACGGTTTCAAGATCCTCAGAATAATCACTCTACGGCCTTTGGTTGCACTGAGGACCAAACTCAGCCTGGCAGTTAGCATTTTGATACATTTCTTTGACACAATATAAGTGTGACTTCTTTCTACGATTGCAATTCTCTGCTTTTGTCTATGAAAGAAATTAAGTATTGTATTAATTACATTTATTTCAGAGTTTCAGATTGCCAAAAGATAAGACAGGCACCACAAAGATCGGGGACCTGGCATCTCAGGACATGAAGAAAGTTTGCCGTTTAGCCCTGATTGAGTTGACTGCCCTCTATGATGTATTGGGCATTGAACTGAAGCAACAGAAAGCTGTGAAAATCAAAACAAAAGGTAATCTTGAAAATGAAAAAGGTATATTTACTTCTAAGTTGGTAGAATGCACTTTTTAGAGTATTCCTAGAGAAAACATCTACAAAGTTAACCAAGATTTGACTATATCTAGAGTTCAGGTTATAAAATATTGCCTTCAAAATTGCTAAAAATATACTGTGCGGTAAATTATAGAAAAAAAGACACAATCAAATCATTCCCACAGAAAGAAATTGTAATTCAAGGAAATATAATTTCTGTGTTTTCTCCTTTGAATACTGCATATGAAAAATACATTTTGGTACAGCTATTTATTTCTAAAATCAGATCTTGACAAATGACTCTGGTTGATCTTTAAAGATTACTTTTGCTTATTCATTACATGAGAAACATGTAGTAGTCAAGACCCTGTCCCTTTGTTCAAGTACATGGAGTTTTTAGCTATTTTACAGAGACATTCTCCTTATATTTAAAAAAATCATGTAGTGTGATATATAACACCCCTAGGTTGTATTCAGTTTCCATTTTTGTCATCTTTCTTTTATAAGCTGCTTGTTTTATCCATTGCATTAATAAAATTTATTTTGGATGAGATGATAAAGAACAAATACCTTCAGGGTTTTGTTTCTCGATGTTTTATTGGTCTGGAAAACCAGCTAATTCTCTATTGACAAAGCTTTGCTGTTCAGGAATCACTGTCCTCTTGTTTAACCTAAAAGGTGTCTTCTAAGAAGGCACCAAGGAGGAGGATTAGTGAGTTGCTATGGTAACGTTAGCCAAGATAAGTGATTTAGGTTTTAGAGGCAAGTTTTCTCTCTAGGACTGAAGGGTCTCTTTTCTGCATTTCCTTCAGATCCCCCTCATGTTGTACCCTGAATACCTCATTTTGTGCTCTTAGAGTATTTTAGCTCAAGGACAAGATGGTAAATTTCTAAGTAAATGTGTCTGTTGTTTCTCATAATTTATTGTAGAGAATGAAGACCTTAGGTGTCTTTTTAGAAGCTCATCTCCAATAATAAAATACTCATATAATTGAACAACTGTGACTCCATAGTTAAGTTTTTTTTAACGTGGCTTACAGAGATATTTTTCAAATTATTTTTGTTTTTATGCTGTATTTTAGAATTGCAGGCTAACAGAAAAATATTGTTTGTATTAAAGCTATCCTTGTTTAAATACCAGTGGCCATTCTTTCCACTTTTTAAAATACATCTGTATCTCTCATCCAATATGTTTAGATTATACATTGGATGCCTGGAATTCTTGAGATCATTTTTTTCTTGATTTTCCCTTATTTTCTGTTTTTTTTCCCCTTTCTCTAACTATAAAGCTATTTACCAGGTTATTGGCATTTGTTGAATGGCATTGTAGTGTCTGATGTCTGTTTCACACTACAAGGTCATCTCCTTCAATTTCTTATGTGTAGTAAGGTCAGAGCTCTCAACTTCTAGGGTAACTACTCAGATGGGAGTGAGCTGGACTTTCTGGGTAGAGGCTGTACTCATATCAGACTCAAGACACATGGTACTGATTTAGAAAAGTCAGTAATTCCCAAGTATATAAAGCTAGCCATTCACATTTAAGAATTCTAAGTATCCACTGTATTTTCTAAAGAAAAACATTCATAGAAGAGCATCATGATGTTGATTGATTTCTAAGAAAGTAAGGATTTATATTTAGCTCTATTGTGGAATGTTAAATGTCATTTTCATATGGAAGAGACCAGGGGCATTTTATTTGAAGCCAGAGTTTTTAATTTGATTGTACTTAGTGAATTGTTTGAATATTTTGCATCTTCTTACAGCAGTCTTCTTCGTTATGTGGCAGTCTGTCCTTTAGAATTCAGTGATTATTTGTAATCATTCCAGCTGTCTTTCCCTGATGGTTGACTCTCTTAAGGTGGGGCTGAGATTCTGGTATTGGGCTGTATGTCATTTCCTTAGCAGGAACTCAATAAAAACTTTGATTATATGACAATATCAGAAACCTTTTGCTCTTAAACTTTTGCATAGTATTGTATAGATCAATGAAAGTGAATACCTTTGTTTTCTTGTTACAGATTCTGGTCTTTTTGGTGTCCCATTGACCACATTATTAGAACAAGATCAGAGGAAAGTGCCAGGAACCCGAATACCCTTGATCTTTCAAAAAGTAAGTCAGTCTGACTGGTCAGTGTAGAGAAAGCTAATGTAAGCTAAAAGTGGAATTGTTCATTTATACTACCATAACATAGTTTTTTTTTTTTAGTTGATATGCTGTTTTATTTTTTACTTTGCTTTTCTATTCAGGAAGGAAATTTGTTTCAAGGGTTCATAATTTTTCTTTCACAATGATGTTTCTTGTGTTATTACTGTAACTGTGATTACCTGGCATCGTTTTCCTGTCTTCTATTAGCTGGCTTTGTATAATTGAGATTTCAATTCTATAATACATAGGGCTGAGAACTGCTTCTAAATTTCTAGGGAATTCAATCTTCATGAATATTTCATGCCTGTATGTATTTCCCAAGCTTTCCTATTTACAGTGAGGATGTCCAATTTAATTTACCAGTGCCTATGTCCAAAGTAGGTAAAGGCACCATAAAGTAGAATTAGAAAATGATTGCTAAACTATCAAGTTGCTTGTGTAGTCAACACTCAATTATTCATAAGGAGCTTATCTGTAGCAATAAAAAAAATACATGTGAATCTAACCTCTCAGCTATCATTGTTCACATGCACAGATTACATATGATAAAAACTAGAGAATGCAATGAGAAAATGAAGGCAGATCAGCTGACGACAACCAAAGCTATAGATTCTTTGTGATAGCCCAGGTATTTCGCAGTTTCCGAAAATTCTGGGACAGCAGAAATTGACTTGCAGTTGATTGACTCAACAATTTTAAGTAATCCCAATGCTCTATCTATGTGGCACTTCTTCTGTTCTAGGATCAGGCAATTTCCTGTCTTACCTCCTAGTCATTGGTGCCTTTATTATTCTGTCTGCCATTGCATTCATACCTGTGTCTCCAGTTTAGTTCTCTTCTGCACAGTTTATCCTACTCATCAGGCTTTGCCAGCCACAGCCTGTAAAGCCTCTATCCGTATGAATACTTGTCAATTGTTCCTGTGAACAAAAGACTGTAGTCTATACAATCAAATTCTTCTAATGTCAATAAAAGGCACGCTTTACTATAGACAGATGGCTTTACAAAGCAAAAATCTCAGCAACTACCTCCTCATATATGTTAGTCAGAGTAGCCAGAGAAACAGAACTAATAGGATTTATGCAAGGGAGAGATGGAAAGATTTATTTTAAAGAATTTTCTCAGATTCTTAAAGGGACTGGGAAGCCTCAACATTATTATGTGTATGTATTCGTATACATACACATATGTATGTATCCATCTACAGCCTATAAACGGGCAAAAGTTAGTGTTGCAGACTTAGGACAAAATTGCTGTGGCAGTGAAAGCTTTAGTCTTTGCTTTTATTGACTTCAGTTGATGAGATGGGGACCACTACTTTATCAGAGAGTGATCTGCCATATTGAAATTGATGATTCACATGGCAATCTCCTTTTAAAAAAGAAGTACTATCAGTGAAACATTTTAGATTTGTGTTTGATTGAAGAATTAGTTAGGTTCTGTAGCCTAGCCAGGATAACCATTCCCCACTGCACCAAGTTCACTAAGCTCTAAGGTCCAGTGGTGCTTCCTGACAAGCTGAGTCCCCCTCAGGAAATATCTCCCTTTGTTATTTCTTGCTTTTTCATTGTTTATTTAGTTAGTTATTCTATACTTTTGATCTGGTTGACATCCTGGCAGCCTACTCTGTTTGAAGTATTGGATAACAACCCTAAGTGAATTTTTTCACATAGAAAACAAAGGGAGTGTAAAGAGCTTACTGATAGTGACGCTCATCTATTTGCATCTTCCCTCCACTGTGAACAATAAATCACAGAGATCTATTGTGAAGAGTATATTTTGATTCATCAGCTGACAGTACCACTAGGTCTTCCCTCGATTTTGTAAAGAAGAAAAAGGAAATTATTGATTTACCAAAAGAGTTATTACCAGTCTTCAGAGGATTCTACTTTTTGAGAACATGTACCCAAGAAAGGCACTGACAAAATTTATCTAATATTGATTAAATATTAATTATATCTTTTATGCTTTTCTTTTTTTTTCTCAGAGACACATTGTTAAAGTCATGCTCCCAGACAGGGTTGGATAAATAGACATGTTGATTTTATTTTATGAAAAAAGTCCATTCTATAACCTATTTTGGTTGTTCAAATCATGTTTTGATTGTTCAACTATGCAGCCACATCAGGCACTCTTGGTGTCAAAAGAAATTCTGACTGCTGGATGCCAGGGACTCATGCCTGGAATCCTAGCAACTCAAGAGGCTGAGGTTTAGAGGATCTTGAGTTTTAATGTTACACAGGGAAGAAGGTAAAACTTCATCTTCAATCAACCAGCAAAATGCTGGGCTGGAGGTCTAGCTCAAGTTGTAGTGAGGCAGCCAAGCGAGTTAAAGCAAGTCTAACTTCTTTGCCATTTATGAACTTTGCAGTTCATATATGTATATAAACTAATGATAAACTACAAAACATATAAGTTTCTAAAAACAACATAATTAAATATATAGATAAATTTTTTTTATAAATATGGTTATTGTCTGTCTTTTATTTTCAGTCCTAAGAGTAAAATGAAGTTGTAATTATTACTTATATTTTAAGAATGTAACAAAAATGTTACTGTCAAAGTAAGAAATATGAGAAAACACATGACCTTCTTTCAGAAAAAAATATCCAAATGGCAGTTGTATGCTGTTATTTAGCATTAGAGAGTACAAAAATAGACCAGTGAAAATTCAGAAATTATTTTAAAGTCACAATTTTCTTGTGTATTTAACAGAACTAAGAGGTATACACAACTAAAAACTAATTTGCTTCAGTAGATTGTGTGTAGTTTAATATTAATAGGATATAGAAACACTTGAGCATTTTATTTTTTGAGATAATATCTTTTTTATTGTAAAGATGCAGTACAGAGGGGGTACAGTTACATGAGTAAGGTAATAGTACATTTCTTGTTGAACAATGTTCCTACGCCTTTATTTTTCTCCCACTATCCCTTCCCTTCCCTTCCCTCTCCCTCCTTCCCCCAGGCTCTAACAGTGTCTTGTGAGCATCATAGGTCATCCTTTGTCCTTGTTTCAACATTTTATTATTTCCCATCCCTTTCCCAAATCAGATAAATGCATATACAAGATACAGGGTACCAGAATCAAAGACAGTGATTGATAGAGATAAACCAATGGAAAAAGAAAAAATGAAATAAAATAAGAAGAACTAGATATAGTACATTGACCACAACAAGGTCAACAACCAGAAGAAAAAAAAAAGATCTTTTGTTTCTGTGTCTTGGAGTTCATTTCAGTTAGCATCATTTAGTATGGTCATATGTACATAGCTATTGAGCTATTATGATTCTCTGCCAGGACTATACTAGGTATATACTAATTATTACAAATGAGGGAAACCATACAGCCTAAGTTTCTTTGGGTCTGGCTTCACTTAATATGATTTTTTCCAAGTCTTTCCATATAAAAAGGACAATGTCATTCTTTCTGATAGAAGCATAAAATTGTGTATATATACCACATTTCCTTGATCCATTCATCTATTGAGGGGTATCTGCGTTGGTTCCATATCTTAGCTATGGTAAATAATGCTTCAGTGAACATAGTTGTTCTTGTAGCTTTAGTGTGACCTTGCTTGTGATCATTTGGATAAATGCCCAGGAGTGGGATTGCTGGATCATAGGGGAGTTCTATGTTTAATCTTTTGAGGAGCTTCCATACTGCTTTCCAGACTAAGGTGAAATAAAATGAAAATCGGTTGTACATTGAATATTTATATTGAACAATACTGTCTATTCTAAAATCATTATTAAGTTTCTGCTTTGGATTTCTATCCAATGTAACTTGAAAAATGTGATCTTGGAAACTCTGAATTGTAACAAATCATGTCATTCATTGATCAGACATGCTTCAAATAGTAACAAATCTTTAGGAGGATAATTTTATTTTTATTTTTGTTATTTATTTAATTCTTTATTTTGGTGCTGGAGATGGGGCCCCAATTGCCCCTTAGCTTTCTCTTCTCAAGGCTAGTACTTGACCATTTGAGCCATACCCTTAGGAGAACCACAAGGCTGTTCTTTGCTTCACTTTCAACTGGCTAGATCAGTTTAAACTCATTGTTAGGCCATAATCTCATTCAAGGACAGGAAAAGTCAGATTACCAGGGAAAATCCACCAGACATCCCTGGTGCACATATTATGATACAGCAAACTTCAGAATATCTAGACAAATGGCACAAGACTTTCTTTATGAGTCCATGTTTCACATGTCATAGACATTTTATAAGCAAGGTCAACCCAGAGAGGGCTGTGTGTTTATAGTATCCTGGTTAACCATTAGCAGAGGATTCCTTAAAAAAAAGTTTCAAATTTTTAACCTTGTTTTGTGCGCTGGAAGATTTTATGCCTCAGGCTGTTTAGAGACTAAACATTTTACTAAGATTGCAAAAGGGTAGGACTAGATCTGTTTTTCATCAAGAAGAAGGCTTTTATGAAATGGAGTGGCTTTAGGAAGGATGCTAGTAACTGCCTTGTATTTAAACTGGGAGCAGGGAAATTGATTTCCTTAAAAACAGCAGAATACCCCAATAGTCTTGTGCCTTGCTAGGGAAAGTATATTCCTGCTTTCTAAATGCATAGTTAACTCCACCAGGAAGCTAACAGCCCCTTTGCCTTCTTCGTAGCTTTTAGAGTTTCTCACTGTAATCTCCCCATTTGCCTTATGTTTTATTTAATTTTAGTACACACACACACACACACACACACACACACACACACACACACACACACACACACACACACACACACACACACACACACACACACACACACACACACACCCCAAAAACCAGGTAAGAATGGCCCAGTACTAGCACAAAAAACAAAACAAAAGCATATTGCTTTAACTTTACCACTAATGATTTAAAATTAATACTAGCAACCAGTGTGTGTGTGTGTGTGTGTGTGTATGTGCATGTGTACACATGTGCATATAGATACTGGGACTTTAACTCAAGGCCTAGGAACTGTCCATTAGTATTTTTCTTCTCAAGGTTGATGCTCCACCACTTGATTCACACTTCCACCTCTGGCTTTTGGGTTGTAAATTGCAGATAAGAGTCTTGTGGACTTTCCTTTTTGGGCTGACTTTGAACTTCAATCCACCGATCTGACCCTCTTGAGAAGCTTGGATTACAGGCATGAACCACTGACACCTGTCCCCAATTTTTTTTTAATCTTCATATTATAAACAGTTTTTTCTTGAAACAAACCAAATGCGTAAATATTAGAATTCCATGAGGTATCTTTGATTGTACACAGTACAATCAGAAGAAGAAATAAATGTTCTTGTTGCTTTTAAACAGAGTATATCTTCATTTTTGGGGTGTGGAGTCACCACAGCTATTATGTGAAATAATACACTTCTGTGACGAAGTAGAATAAGACTTAGCTCTTTTCCAAATTATAGCCAAAGTTGTTGGACTTTGTATTTTGAAGGATGGCTCTGAAATCACATTCAAACCTCCATAAAATCCAATTGACGTGTCATTGTAATCAGCTTTCATTTATTTATATGTGAAACAGATGTTAAATTGTACTCCTCATAAATGCCAACATCAGAATGTTTTTGTTTTTCCGCAGCTGATTTCTCGAATTGAAGAGGGAGGTTTGGAAACAGAAGGCCTCCTACGAATACCTGGAGCCGCCATGAGAATCAAGGTAAGATGACCTTTTATTCTGCTTATGTGGCATTTTATCGTTTAATCATGCATCCGCAGGTTAAAAGCCAGTTTGCTCTACACGCCTTCATTCCTGTATACAACAAAGTGGTTTAAAGTAAAGCAATAAAACCACCTCACATTCAGCTTAGATTCAGTTTTTCTACAACCTCTTCTGGTTTTGTGTAAGTTTTTATTTATTTTTTAAAATTTTTCTAAATCACCCTCTTACCTATAATTCCTTGTGAGGAAGAGAACCTGAGGTCTCAAAATATTAATAGGAGGCTTTGGTGATGATTTAGTCTTGAGTCATAGCAGCTGTGTTTTTATCTTAAAAAGGTCAAGATTGTTAAGACTCCAGCAGGTGAACAGATTAGGAGCCCTGAAAATAGTCCCCATATATTGTTGGTTATGATCAGCTGGAGAAATGAGGCTGATGGTCATGGTTCCTTATTTCACTGGAGTCAGCATAGCCTCTGTCAGGTGACAGAGGTGACTTGGTCCCTGGACTTCCCAATTAGATGCCTTCTTGTCCCCTGGCTTTTTGTTTTTGCTCAATGGCATTTCTTTCCAATTATCCCAAGGTACCTTCTGTTTAATCTGTGTGCCTCATGTCCTGTCTGGGGAATGAATCGTCCAGTGCAGGCACAATACAGATGAATGAGCCTCTAGGTGATGCACACTACATATGCTTTATAAGAAGTTTACATTTATAGAAGAGTCTTATTTGAAAGGACAATTATATCTAGAAAATTAACATAGCTTTTTTTTTTTTTTTTGAGAATAGTCTTTTTTCTTGTTACTTTATCTTCAAAACTCATCTTTAGCTCTGAAGAGATAGCCTAAGAAAAATGCTCCTCATTGTCTCCCTGACTTTGAAAACTCAGGCAGAAAATAGGGAAACATCTTGTCTGTTGATTTTCTTTGAACCTCTTTGATAGGAAAAACTTGGGAGTTGATCAGGATGAAATGGGTTTCAGCGGTTGCACCTCCCCCTTGGCTGTGACTACTAGTGCTGTGGGCACCCCAGGACTGGAATTAGCATGCATGCATCCCACTGCTGGTATTTTAGAACCACTAGCATCAGCCTACTTTATGCTACATACAATGACCTCATTTTCGTAGTTTCTGTAGCCTGATATACCCCACTGTCAGATTCAAGCTTGGTATTCCCTGGGTTTGGTGGCTGAGGCATTGACGTCTCCAAAGCTGTCTGGGGGTATTTGTGTGTTTGGTAAGGGGTGTTTGTGATTTTGATAATTTCATGACCAGGAACTAAGGCAGGCTCACCACCAGTCCTAGACATTGTATTTTATTCTGAGATCATTCCTGTCCAGAAGGTGGTTCTCTTCCAAAAGCATAATTCTTCAGGAGCAGTGAACTTGGCTCCTGTCATTAATGTCAGCAGGAATAGTGTTTTTCAACTGACTGTTTAAAGCAATCAGGCCATCCTTAGTGGAGTGGGATGACCAACTCACAGGAGTCAAAATATGTTTCTGTAGTACAAAATGGCCAATATAATGAGGATTTAACTATAAGCTAGGAGTGTTGGCAGAAGGACAAATAAACGTAATTTCTAAGAAGGCCAATTAATGGATTCAGCAGGTCAACTGTTCAACACGTCCTGTTGTCATAGACCAGCGAATGCACCAGCTGGTCCATCGTAAATAAGTTAAATGAGCAAAATTTTGGCTGTTTTCTTGCTTATCCCTTCAATTTTTTCTGTACTCTTCTCTTCCCTCCCTTTTCTGCACATCCATCTCCCTATGCTGCCTTTCCTTTCCTCCCTCATTCTTTCTCTCTTCACTTTTCTCCTATATTTCTTTTTCCCTTAGCCCATCTTTTCTTTGCTCTCAGTCTCCCTCTCTGCTCCCATCTCTTTCTACCACATCCCATTTCTAGTGATGCCTGCATGAATCTCACCAATTATAAGAAATAATTAGAGTTGGACTTCGGTTGGGAAAAATCACACACACACACACACACACACACACACACACACACACACACACACACACACACACACACACACACACACACCTTTTGTGAAAATGGTTCCAAAGAGTAAAAAGAAGTAATGGAAACGTGAGGATTTCTTACTTGCTAGGATTTATGACACAGTAAACAAAAAGTATACAGGAAATAGTAATTATGATAGCAAATTTATTTATTTGTAATAGTTTAGTTGGCATATTTTGTCAAACTATCGAGGTAACTGAGCAAGGTACTCTTGTCTTGAGCTGGCAGTACCATGACCATGCATTAAATATCTCTCATTTGCTATAGGAGTTGATTTCCATTTCTTAGCGGTCCCTACTTAGAGATCATTTCTGTTTTAGATCCAAAGATTGCTTGTGCATTTTGTTTTGTAGTATACTTTTACATATCATTTGTTGATTTGGTGTATTTTTTTTTGTGGGAAGACATGGGCTTTAAACCCTCGATATTAAGCTAGCTAGAAAGGGACTACTATATGAGTAGAGCCATAACTCTGGCCAAAATGGTAGTTTTCCTTTTGTGTGTGACGTATTTTGATAGAACGAGGAACTGCATTTATCTAGATAAGCTCCCCCAATTGGAAAAACTTTTCGTGTGTGTCAGGGTCTGGGCATTGTCCCTAAGTTGTTGTTTTGGTTGTTGTTTTTTAATAGCTTAAGGCTGGTGCTTTACTACTCAAGCCTTCACTCCACACCTGGCATTCTGCTGGTTAATTATGAACATGAGTCTCTTGGACTTTCCTGCCCAGCCTAGCTTTCCTGCCCTCAGATCTCAGCCTCCAGAGTAGCTAAAATTACAGGTGTGAGGTACCACGGCCATGCTGGAAAACTATTTTGAGCAATCTTTTAATTAAATCTCAACTAATTAAAATTTGTTGAATGAATTGAAAAGAATTCGCCCTTCAGGACAATTTCTCCTTGGTTTAGTACCACTGGGATTGAGGGACTGCCAGTTTTCCACGTCACAGAAGAATTGACTTTGGGTTTTTTTTTTTGTTATCTTTACACAGTAAAATTCTTGTAAAGTGGAAACCATATCACACTCAGCAAAGCCAAAAACGTACGTACTGATAACCGTTGTTTTTTTTTTCCCCTCCCCCTCCTCCTTCTTTGTGTTGTTTAGAATCTTTGCCAAGAACTAGAAGCAAAGTTCTATGAAGGGACTTTTAATTGGGAGAATGTCAAGCAGCACGATGCAGCCAGTCTGTTGAAGCTCTTCATCCGGGAGCTACCCCAGCCCCTGCTCAGCGTAGAATACCTCAAGGCCTTTCAGGCTGTGCAGAGTAAGTGCCATCCGTCTTGCAGCATTCCCTATGCTGGTGCCATCCATAATTGTCTCAATGACATGTGACATTACAGGGCAGGGGAGATGCATTTGGATAGACATGTTGACTCATGGATACTAAGGGTTGTTTCCTCCCCAAGTGTTGTTTCCCTTGCTTTCATAAGTATACACTGTTGGAATCAATCACTGAATGTTCTCTTCAGGTAGAGATTAATTGCATGGCATTTAAGCAGTTCAATGTATTTTGGAGTTAGAACTTTGTATTTTTCTCATAATAGGATGAGTCACATCACATCTCTGATCATGTTTTTCTTGCCAAGTGTTAAAAAGCAACACTTACCGGAGATGCTGTGGATTAACAGTTATCAAAAAGGCACAAGGAGATGTAGTAGAGGCTATGAGCATGTACTGAAAAACAAGATCCTGAAATAGTTGTGTGCAAGTGTGTTGTTGGAATTGGGGCAAGGCATTTTGCTGCCACATCAAGGGAGTACCACTAATTCAGGTCTATATAATAGATCTTGATTTCTTTTCCAAGAAATAGAGCTCTTAAAAGGTTTATATCCTAGCACAATATCCCATTTATTTCTAGAAGCTATCATGAAAGAACTGATGCCATGTCTGTAAAGATATATCTTTTGCTTCCAAACTAGGACCCTTGAGATTACTATCAGTAATCACACTGATCTCCCGTGCTCGTCACTGTACTCCAGGCTGTTCTAAGGACTGAAATATTGAGATGATTTCCTGTTTTATCTCATATTGTAACTCTTTTGCTCAAAATTCACGAGAGACACGAAAAATACTGCGTAGTTTTTAAACATATTTTTTTCTTAAATAGAAGAAAATATTTTCTGTTTAAAATGTTCTTGATAGGTCAGTCACCTATGGTTCAAGTTTATAATGTTAGCTACGCAGGAAGCTGAAATAAGAGGATCATGTTTCAAAGTGCAGCCTGGGCAGGAGAGTTTGTAAGACTCCTTTATCTAATGAATCACCGAGAAGCCAGAAATGGATCTATGGCTCAAGTGGCAGAGTGCTAGCCCTGAATGAAAATGTTAAGGGACAGCACACAGGACCTGAGTTCAAGCCCCAGTACTAGCATGCATGCACACGTGCCCGTGCGCGCGCGCACACGCACACACACACGTACACACACACACGTACACACACACACGCACATATGTGTGTATGCACATACACCATACATTTAATGGATAAAGTGCATTATTTTACATACACTTCCCACTTCTGAGCCAAGTGTATCATTACAAAGAAATGCAGACATGATTTTAAATGTCCATTAGTATTACTTAAAGAGGATAAGAAACTCTGAAAATGAGCCTGCAACTGATAATAATGGACCTTTTAGACCTTTTCATTGCTATTTGGTTTCTAATTCATTCCACCAACATTTACTGAACATGGATTGTGTTCCAGGCCTGTGTTCACATAGTGTTCACATTCCTGTTGGCATCAATGGACTCTTTCTTTGTAATTTTGTTCACTCTCCATGAAAAGAAACAAACTTCACAGTTAAAGCTGTACCCTCAGACCATGTCATCAAAGGTCCAATCTTCTGGTACTTTTCATGGGGGAATCATCACACAGAAGTTGAAATGCTTTCCGGAGCACTGTTGTGTTTCGGCAAACATAAGGCTGCTCGTCATATGATCTCAGTTGGAAGTGAGCATTCTGAGAGAGAGGAAGCTCCTAGCAGCTGCTTCTACCAATCTCCGACTAACAGTCTCAACAAGCCTTGCTGCTCAGTCCTTGTGTCTTAACATTTCACTGTCATGTTTACACTAAGTCACTTTTCATGAAAAATGGAAAATAAAAGTAAAATGTTCTGTAAAGAGTTCAGATTTTCCAATCTATCTGCAGATCTTTCCTCCAAGAAGCAGCAACTCCAGGCTCTGAACCTCCTTATCATCCTCCTGCCCGACGTGAACAGAGACACTCTGAAGGTCAGAGAGTTCATTCACCTTAACTATCCTTAGAACAAAGCACACTAATGTTTTCACTATTTATGGCAAAAGCAATGTGATGTTTAGTTTGCAAACATTAAAAGAAGTCTAAAATGGAAAAGCCTATTTTAAAGCGCAGCTGGTAGCTGGTTGCTGGTGGCTCATGCCTGTAATCCTATCTACTAAGGAGGCTGAGATCTGAGGGTCATGGTTCAAAGCCAGTCCAGGCAGGAAAGTCCTTGAGACTCTTATCACCAATTAACTACCAGAAAACTGGAAGAGGTGCTGTGGCTCAAGCAGTAGAGCACTAGCCTTGAGCTGAAGAGCTGAGGGACAGTGCCCAGGCCCAGAGTTTAAGCCTCACGTCTGACAAAAAAAATAAAATAAAATAATAAAGTATAGCTGGTGAGGGATACTCTTGTACTCTTTGTTCATTTATTTATTAGGCTGACTGTGTTGTTAATATTACTAGGCTGTTTTAAAATCTTCATTATAATATTTCTTCTAACAAGGTTGTTCATTATGGTTCTTGGTTCATGGACATGTGGGTTACTCTTTAGTGTTTTCTACTTTCTTTTTTCCCCCATATTTTCTAAATGATGTTAAAAAAAAACATGTTATTAAGAAGGTGATAAATAAAATTGTAAAATGTAGCTCTCTCTTACCTAACATTGTTACAGTACATTATAACACTAAGTGATGGATTTAAAATAAATTATCATGGTAGTTTGAAATGTTTATTCACCTAAAGACAGATCAATTAAATTCTAGTTCTTTCTCTAAAGGCTTGAGCTTCTGATTTGCAGCATTATTTTGAAATGATTTACTCCAATATTCAAATAAGTTAGTACCATTTTTTTGTACGTACTATCAGAGGCTCTGATAACTAACATACATTGTTTTACATGTCTTTTTCTTATTAGCAATAGTTTAAGCCAGGCATCAAAGTGTACATGCAAAACCACAACATTCAAAAATGGAGGCAGGAGGGTGGTAAGTTAGAAGCTCATTTGTGAAACATGAGGAGATGAGACCTGGTCTCATAAATGCAAGATATAAAACAGAAACATTTATAGAGAGATGGTAAAGGGCTCAATAATAAATTTTTATAAAAGATCATCATGTTAAGGTCAGCCAAGTTCAACCAGCCAACTATGGCATGCTTTCACTCATTTGTAAGGTATAGATTTTAAACACATGCAATCATGTATATATGTACACAAACATACATACACATATCATTGTACCTACAGGGGTCAGGGGGAGAATGATAGATGATGGATAATGTTGAAATCTATTATGTCTGTGTATGAACAAGGCCTATGAATGTCACTGAAAGCTATTCAATAGGGGATGGGGAGAGTATCAATAGAGGGAATTATTCTGATTAAGATATAACATATATACACACAAAATTCCATGGTAAAACTCCTTGGTGTAATTAATATACATAAAAAATATGATACCAGTGTTTTATTCTTGAGGAGGGTGAATGGAGAGGGTAAATGAATATTTGAAGTACTTTATATGCATATATGAAAATAGAACATGAAACTAGTGAAATTCTGAGAGTAGGAGAGAGAGATATGGTATGGTGGGCAATGTCACAGTGAAACTCCAGTTATATCACTGATGTGTGCTAATTAAAAAAATCTTAATGAAAAAGAAAAAAAGGGAACATTCAATATATGATGTAGAAAGAATATTGGCCTTAAATTTTGTCGCTACTTTAAATTTACTTTTAGATAAATGTAGGCTGGACACCTTGCCTCTTTAACCCTCTGTGTTTCTTTTATTTAAAATTAAGTCTCATGGAAAGAAATTTCATGTCAAGGGAAAAAAAAAAAACACTAGTTGTTATATCTCAATTTTTTTTTTTCCTTATATCTCATGAAAATTTCTTGAAGAGTTAAGCAAAAGGAATGATTGTTGATATTCAGCTTCCCTGGATCATGCACAATTGTTCCTCAAATATTCTTGTTTTATAAGCAAACAAACAAATAACTCCTAAAAAGTAGAGATATAAGACTTACTTAAGATTAAGAGTAAAGTAATGAGTAGCTGAACAAGCACACAGAGGTTAGGGAATGCTTCCTGTAAAAGTAGGTTTATCATTATATATATATATATATATATATATATGCATATATATGTAACTTATTGAAAATGTGAAGTTCTTACTGTTTAGATGAAAATACTATTGTTTTCCTAGCATGGTCTAGGGCAACATTTTATTAATCTCACATCTTTCTCATTCACCTCTTTTTTTCCCTTCGTCTCTCTCCTCCCTTCTTTCTCTAGTATTCTTATAGTAACATTTGGAATATCTTGCAGCATATGCACTATAATTTATGCTCATGAAGAAAGAGAGACGCTGGTCCCTGAACAACTATTCTAGTCTCTGTGGAACAAAAATTAAATATGTTTTCACAAACTTCAATTAGTCTTTGGTCTTTGTTGAAGAACTGTATTGTTTCAATACAACATTATCCTTGGATTACAATTTTACTTTCTAAGCACTGTACCACAAGTTAGATACATAAATCTTATTGTTAGGTATCTAGATTAGGTCTAGTCTGTTTCTAATTTCTGCAAGGCAACTACATTTGAGGCAAGTGCTAGCACTTAGAGGATCTTTACCCCCTGAAATCTTGTGAAAATTTTTAAAAAATTTAATTAATTAACTTAATTTTGTTTTCCATCTTTAGTGTAGCACATTTGGATTTTTCAGATGCGGAGTCTGTGGCAAATAAGAAAGCCTGATCCTTTGATTCATTTTGTAGTGAGTTCAGAATCCAAACCGCATCCAACAATCCTTCTCTGTGATTAAATTCCTTTGCTACCATTAGTGTTTAGTTGAGGGACTGCCAATAAATTACTTCATATTCCCTAAAATATAGTTTCCTTAGCTACAAAATGGGAGTGATTACAACATCTGACCCCAGAAAGGGTTAAGTTAGATGATACTTAAAATGTACCTTACACACTGACACTGCCTTACCCATACAGAACATTAAACACCTAGTCAAAATGAAGTGAAATAGCAAAGGAACTTGAAGCTTTAAGCCTCATCAGAAGTCAGACTAGGGAGACCCAGCTTCCAGTGGCTTTGCAGACTTAACTCAGAGGACAGTGTCTACATGGCAGGAGGAAGTGGGGAACATCAAGATACGCATAGCCCAGCCTGTTCTGGTGGAAAGCTCCCTTGTTTTCATTCCTTCCATTGTTTGTTGGGGTCCAGGGTGGGGGGAACCCTCCTTGGGCCTCATGCCTGTGAGATCTCAGGAGGCTGAGATCTGAGGATCATGGTTTAAAGCCAACCTGGGTAGCAAAGTCCAGGAGATCCTTATAGTCAATTAACCTTCAAAAAAGAGTAGCTGTGGCTAGCCTTGAGCACAACTTTTGAGATGCTGAGTTTAAGCCTTGCAGGACTGACAAAAACAAACAAATTAACAAAACAACAAAGAAAACCTCACAATTCTTTGTTGTGTGTCAGTGTTTCCCTTCCTATTACTATCTTCATTCTGTTTAGGTTCCACATTACCAGCAATTGACTGTCCTACTGTGAAAGATGAGTGAGCCTATTCAGAGATATTGCCTTAGAAATACAAAAAAAGAAAAACTTGTAGACATTTCAGCACTTCCAGAAACACATGGATGGTACATAAAACCACTTGTCACTGTTCCTGGCTTCGTGGGGTTAGGAAATTTACATCTCCATTCATCCTTTTTCCCTCTCATTCAGAGGGTACCCTCTCTGCCACATTGCCCAGGGCCATGGTCCCGAATAGCATCTAGAGTGTTGGACCAAATGCAGAAGCTTCGATGATAAGGTTTGTTGGACATGGCTAGCTAACTGTGGTTCTGCATGCTTCCTTTTTCAATCAATAAAAATCTTACCTTTGATAATTATTTTTATTAACCTCTCATCTCCATATATGGTGTCATTTCTGTTTTAGGCCCTGCTTGAATTTCTCCAAAGAGTCATAGATAATAAAGGGGAAAATAAAATGACTGTCCTGAATGTTGCAATGGTCATGGCTCCGAATCTCTTCATGTGTCAGCTGGGTTTGAAGACCAGTGAGCAGCAAGAATTAGCGAAGGCAGCTGGGACAGCAAACATCATGCTCTTACTTATTAAGTATCAGAAACTTCTGTGGACAGTAAGTATTTGTGTGTGTGTGTGTGTGTGTGTGTGTGTATACTTGAATTAGAGACCGTATAATTTCCAGCATAATTATATTTAGTGGGTTTAAACATCATTTTATTAAGCTGGTATAAAAAGTAATGAGCTTTTTCTTTTCATGCTGTTAAAAACATCACATTTTTGTTATCTGTAAAATTACATTGGAAATATTAAAGGTATTTTAGCACATAGGTAAGGACGGGGCCTTGTGGATTCCTATTTTAACATCGTGAAATAATGTAAAAGAAAAGTATAAGAAGTATTCCTTATTTAGTTCCTTCTGCCCATTTTTCTCTTTCTCAGTATTCAAGCCTAATGTCGTTATCAAAGTTATGCTGTCTTTGCTTTAGATCATTTACAGTTGTTGTTTATAGACTTTGTGTATATCTGTGTGTGTGTGTGTGTGTGTGTGTATGTGTGTGTGTATGTATGCGTATGCGTACTTGCCTGCATGCTGGTCCTAGAGCTTAAACACAGGGCCTCCGTGATGTCCCTGAGCTTTTTTTAAAATTTAATTTAATTTTTATTTATTTTTTATTGTGAAAATACTGTACACAGGGGTTACAATTACATGGGCAAGATAATGAGTACATTTCTTATCAAGCATTATAGCCTCCTCCTTCGTTTCCCCTTCCCATCCCTTTCAATCCTCCCCGCTGCCCCTCCCCCCCCAATTCTCCCACCCCCCCCCCACCAAAGTTGTAAAGTTCGTTTTCTTTTTTTTTTTTTTTAATTTAATTTAATTTAATTTGTGAACATACTGTACAGAGGGGTTACAATTACATGGGCAAGATAATGCGTACATTTCTTACCAAGCATTGCAGCCCTCCTTTGTTTACCCTTCACCTCCCATCCCAGCCTCCCCGTAAAGTTCGTTTTCGACATAACGACTTGAACTTCTCATTGTTGCAATGGGTCCACCTGTATCCTTATTTAAACGACTTATTTTTCCCCTTCCCCTCCACAAATTATACTGATATCAAATACAGTGAAAGCAGGGGTTATACTGTGGGTGAGCGACATACAAAGCAACAAAGAAATAATCTTATAAATGTGTTAGAAACAATTGCATGAAAGAAAAAAAATTTGAATACATATCTTAAGGTTCATTTCCCTAACATCACCTTATCTTACCTTTTCTGCTTGACTCATTTTTTTTTTTTTGCTCAAAGCTAGAACCCTACCTCTTTACCTTCAGCCCCACTTCTGGCTTTTTTGTAGTTAATTGAAGATTAAGAGTCTCACAGATTTTTCTCCCTGTCTGGCTAGAACCAAGATTCTTAGATCTTAGACTCCTGAGTAGCTAGGACCATCAGCATAAACCACCTATGCCTGGCCAAAGATCTTCTTATCTACAGAAATATATACACCATTCTCTCTTGAACATAGTTTTCTACTTTACCCTTATTTTTGAGCTTAAGTTTTGACAAATAATCAGAAAATAGTAATGAATGAGAGGCTTCTTTGATTAACGTCTCATCTTCCAGTGAAATTTGTAAGATTTATAGAGACAAGCATAGGCATTTACAAAAAGTGAACAAAAAAATTCCATGTAGAATTATGCAGAGGATTTTTTTCCCCCAATGGTGGGGATTAAACCTAGGACCGAATGTATGTGCTCCAGTACGAAGCTACATCTCCAACCAAGCAAAAGTATAATAGCAAATACATATATCTCTTAGGGAACCCTCCTCCAGTTACTAATTTCTTAAAAAAGATAAAGTTATGATACCTAGAATCTGAAGTCTTTTTTTTTAGGTTCTTTGTAAAGGCAACTGAAATAGGTAATTGCCAATACTAAAAATACATATAATAATTACTAAAGCTTTTAATTAGTCTTCTTCATGACAATTATTTCCTGGTTATAATTAATAACTTGTTTTTTGTTGCTCATGGGGCTTGAATTTAGGGACTGGGTGCTGTCTCTGAGCTCTTTTGCTCAAGGCTAGTACTCTACCACTTTGAGCCACAGTTCCACTTCCAGTTTTTAAGTGGTTAATTGGAGATAGGAGTCTCAAAGAATCTTTTCTGGGCTACCTTTGAATCAAGATCCAAAGATCTCAGCTTCCTGAGTAGCTAGGATTACAAGCATGAGTCACAGAGTCACAGCTGATTAACTTTTTGCTATTGTGATATTTTTGCTATTTTTTTTTTTTTTTTGCTAATGGCTGGTCCTCTACCACTTGAGACTTAGCTCCATTTCTGTCATTTTGCTAATTAATTGTAAATAGGAGTCTCATAGCCTTTAGTGTCTAGGGCTGGTTTCAAATTGTCATTTCAGCCTCTTGAGTAGCTGCCAGTTCTCGACTTAAATATCTTCTTGTTATTGTGATTTCCAAGGATACATCTTTCCTGGAGAATTGTGGATAACCTTTAGCTCTTGTTGGTTGGTGAGTTTTTCTTTATCTTCTGACAGCTGAGTTGAGCTGGTGATCAGAGGACTGTTTGTTAGCTGTTGGACTGTGGGAAAGTGTCTGCTAAGGAGACAGACTATGAGATAATGGCCTTTGTGGTTGGTCTTTCAGAGAGTCTCCAATCTTTATATATAAGATATTGGAAGAGGCCACTATATCCTTGAATTTCACAAAACCCCTTTTGAAACCTTACACAATAGGCACTCAATTACATCTTCTAAATGAGTTTACATCTTCTACATGAGTAGTACCATGATGCTTTCTTAAAATTTTATTTTTTAACAATGAAAGGTATGTGTTAAAATGACATAGTCTTATCATAGAACCTTTATTCTTCTTGAAATAAAGAGAATGATTTAGGTAGATTAAAACGATACCATGTCCTTTTATGAATCCTTAAACTTAATTTCTTTTCTTCATAGATTCCCAAGTTTATTGTAAACCAAGTAAGGAAGCAAAACACTGAAAACCAGAGAAAGGAAAGGAAAGCCATGAAGAAATTGCTAAAGAAAATGGCTTATGACCGAGAAAAACATGAAAAACCAGATAAGAGTACAAATGATGTAAGTCTTGCAGATATGTATCTATTGTCCTTTAGTCTTGTGTCTATAATGCAGCTTTCTATCATATCGTGTGGTTCTTACGACCTGTAAGTTAAAGACATCAATAACAATAACTGCGCCTCTACCACTAATGGACAGGTTAATGCTAGATCAGGTGTTGGTAACTTAGCATGTAGTTTGTTAATGGGAACCAAAAGGTTGTAATAAGACAAGAATGACCTACTGAACTACACACAGTGCACATTCTCACACACGCGTATATATGCACAAACACATTTGCGCATACACACATGCATATATCTATGCACGTGTGTGCAAATGCACACAGTCTGTGCTTACTGTCTAATCTTACACTGAGTGAAAAATCCTCACATGAACCACCCACCTGTCCTCTTGGGGAGATCTAGCCCAGCTAATGGTTTTATTAGCTGAGGGTCATTCCTAGATCTCAATAAGTACTAGAACATTCTCAGTTTAACCAGAAGAATTTTTAGAGTGATGTTGTAAAAGAAGAAAATTTAAACCTGTCATGAAGAAATATCTATTCATCAGCATTTATAGAATATCTGAAGATTATAGTAAGAACTGATTTGGCCCGATTGAAATGTGCACAGAGATATAATTGTGAATCACGCTATCAAAGTTCTCACATAAGATGAAGAAATGAAAGGGTTTCTATTGTTCTACTTAAGTGAATGCACCCTCGCCACACTGCTGAAGTTGCTCGGTTACAGGCTGACATCTTGTGGAATAATGGGAGAAAGCAGTTGTCAGCCTTTGTCTGATTTTTCTGCTTTTCACAGACATGGAGAGCCAGTTAATGCTGTACTTTCCCCCCCCCTCTGAAATGTATAGCTCTCTTTGAAAAGGAATACTTTATTGGTATTGTGAAGTTTTTAAATCAATTTTCAGTTTCCTTAAATAAAAGAAGTATATGAAGTTGGATGCTGGTGGCTCACACCTGTAATGCTATCCATTGAGGAGACTGTGATCTGATGGATCCCAGTTAAAAGCCATCCTGGGTAGAAAAGTCCATGAAACTCTATCTCCAAATAACTAGCAAAAACTTAGGCTGGAAGTACGGCTTAAGTGATAGAGCATCGGCCACAGCAAGAAAGTCAAGCCTCAGATTCCTTGGTTTAAACCCTACCATTGCCCAAAATAAAACAAAAACATATAAAATATAGCATAGGTAAATTATGTCTTTATTTGAGAAAACATATTTGATGTTATAAGGACAGAAAGAATTTTCAAAATATCATTATTGTTTATAATACTTTGTTATCTAACACCATTATAAAGATGATGATACCTTCCATTTTCCAACCCTGCTTATTTATATTGACTTGACCTCAAATCATACTCTTGCCATGTTGTAAGTCTCTGAGATGCTAAGATATAGGTGTCATATCTATTTAAGAAAATATTTGGGTTCTACCTTTGTACTAATAAATCCCTCACAAATTGAAAGATTAGTTTCTGGAAATGGGATGTTTAAAAATTTTACTATTTACAGAAAAGGAGCATTAAGTTGAAGTGGATTGTTTTGTTGTGTTTTGTTTTTAGCTTGAACTTTGAGCAAATTACATATGCGTTGAACTGAGAATTATCTCTATATCATTTATTTACATTACCATTTTAAAGCCTCTAATTTAAAACACAGGTTTGCTTTTTTCACAGATTAGCTGTAATGTCACCTTCCTGACTTTTGGTTTTCTTTTTTGTGAAATTTGATTAATTGTAAAAATTACTTGATGTGTACCTCCTGTGTATTAGATACTGTTCTTAACACTATTGAACAAAATAGGTAAAGACTACCACTGCCATGGAGCGTAAACTCTATTATTGAAAATATATTACAGGCTAGGTATTCACACTTGCAATCCTAGCTACTCAGGAGGCTAAGATCTAAGGATCTTGGTTCAAAGTCAACCTCTGGTAGGAAAGTCCATGAGATTCTTATCTCCAATTAACTACCAGAAAACCAGAAGTGGAGTTGTGGCTCAAAGTGGTAGAGTACTAAACTTGAGCAAAAAAGCCTGGGACAATACCCTGAGTTCAAGTCCCATCACACACACACACACACACACACACACACGCACAGTATATATTATAATATACTATATATATATTATATGGTATGTTAGTATGTGATGGATACTTTAAAAATGTGAAAAAAACAGAAAAGGATGAATCCTCTTGCAGTAGTTTGAGAAGCAAACTGTTGAGTACTCTACAGCGGTCGAGTATGTATCTCTTGGAAGCTTTTTCCAGGCAGTGGGAAGAGTTTTTATTATTTTTATTATTGTGATTACTTTTTTTTTTTGTCAGTCATGGGGCCTGAACTCTGGGCCTGAGTGCTGTCCCTCAGCTCTTAAGCTCAAAGCTAGCACTCTACCACTTGAGCCACAGTGCCACTTCCGGTTTTCTTGTGGTTAATTGGAGATAAGAAGAGTCTCATGGAGCCGGGTCTGGTAGCTCACATTTATAATCCTAGCTGCTCAGGAGGCTGAGATCTGAGGATTACAGTTCAACGTCAGCCCGGGCAGGAAACTCCATGAGACTCATGTCCAATAAACCACTAGAAAACCGGAAGTGGCACTGTGGCTCAAGCAAAAAAAAAAATGTCTCATGGACTTTCCTGTCCAGTCTGGCTTTGAACCACGATCTTCAGATCTCAGCCTCCTGAGTAGCTGGGATTATAGGCGTGAGCCACAGGGGCCTGGCTTTGTTGTTGTTGTTAGTGTTGTTGTTGTTAGTGTTGGTGGTGGTGGTTGCGGGGTTTGAACTCTGGGCCTGGACACTGTACTTGAGCTCTTCAGTTCATGGCGAGCTTGAGCCACAGCAACACTTCAGTGGGAAGAGTTTTACAAAAGCCTAAGGCAGAACTTGATTGGTGTAGTTGGACAGGAGCAGAGCTCAGCAGTGTATGTGAGTGGACTAGAGGTAGTAAAGGGCTGGCAGTAGGGTGAGTGGACTGGAGGCAGTAGGGGCTGCAGTAGGAAGTGTAGTCAGAAGGCAAGTGGACCAGGTCACACAGGGCCTTGGAGAACATCATTAGGAATTTGGATTTACCCAGAGTGAAGTCATTGCAGGGTTTTGAGCAAAGCAAGAAGGATTTATAACAAGTTAAAAAATAATCCCTCAAACTCTTGTAATTCCAAGCAACCATAGGGCAGTCAAGATAGGAATAGAGAATCGATTTAGGAGGTTTTTATAACCAAGGTGAAAAATAATGATGGCTCTGACAAAGGTACCATCATCGAAAGTGGAGGTTGTTGCATTCTGAATATTTATTTGCAGTGTCTAAAAAAATTGGAAAGATGCAACTGATAGGAGAGATCATGATTTCTATTTTGGACCCCATTGTGATGTCTATTGTAGGTCTACATGAGGATGTTTTTAGATGTTTGGAGGGAAAATCAGGTCATACTGACTGTCCAGAGAGGGCACATAATTAAGGCCAATGGGAAGTGTGATTGGGACTCAGTGGAGAGGGAGCTTTTGATTCCGCATACCACAGGGAACTGAAAGATTGTGGTCTCAGGCATTACAAGATAGTATTCACACTCTAAGGTAACCACTGTCATGGTAGGTGAAAGGAAAATTGGAGGGGTAGGAGGTTTGGAAGGTGATTCTGGAGTATTTTGATGAGAACATATAAACTGGTAGATTTCATTCAGAAAACACTCTATGGCATATGGCAAAGGCCTGAAAACTGTTTCTTATTGGACTGTTTCTTATTCTTCAATTGCCATTCTCTTTTACACTGGCTTAAGTTAGAAATAGTCCAGAAGAATAGAGGTAGCTGAGTAAATATGTTAGGGCATGTTTATATAGTGAAATGTAGGGGCTGGGAAGGTGACTCAGTGGTAGAGTGCTTGACTTGCATGCGTGAGGCCCTGGCTTTGATTCCTCAGCACCACATAAGCAGAAAACCTGGAAGTGGTACCTTGGCTCAAGTGGTAGGGTGCTAACCCTACCCACTTGAGTTCAAGTCTCACAACTGGACAAAAAAATGTACCTTGATGGACCTTTAAAGATATTTATATGTTTCTCTGTGAGATAAACAAGCTATCAGTGAAACGTGATATGTGTGAGGGATTTTTTGAATGCCTACCAGAGGTCAGGCATGATATTAAACATTGTGGATTATATTTGTGGGAGTCTAGTTGGAGTATATAGTCTTGATTTTTCAGATGAGTAACATGGGGATCAGCAATCAGAGTTCTCTAGAAAGGAAATGGGGCTGGAATTCAGACTAGCTACATGGTCTTTAAGTCCATAAATTATTGACCATTATCCCCTATTTCTCCATGGAATATAGAAAAACTGAGAAGGATCTATAGCAAAGTGATGAACTACTTGTGTTGGTAATACCAGTAAACTTGGATTACTGCTATTTTCAAAATATTTAGATAGGACTTTTAAAATAATCCTAAACTATAGATAATACCCAGTTGAGATGGGTAGAAGTTTAGGATATAAAGATGTTGATGTGGATTTGATATGAAAAGAGTAGAAGATAGAATATAAAAGGACTCACTGAATTTAGCATGGATAACTTTATCATCAAGATAGAGCACCAAACCAAAGAAACAGACTTGGAATAGGTCAGTTCTTGACATTGTCTCATGGGCATAAAGTTCAGAAAGCACAGCAGGTCTGGAGGTGAGCCTTTAGGATTAGCCTAGAGATTGTCATTGAGACCAGAAAGATTTAAAAAAACAAAAATTACTTAAGGTGGATATGTGCAGTAAGAAAGTAAAAAGGCAAAGATAGATCTTTGGGAGAAATGCAAATATTTAAGAAGGTGGCCACTGAAGAGGATTTTTTAAAAAAGTGCTATTATAAGGAAGGAAGTGAAAGTTGAAGAATCTGTATTATCTTGGATCAAGAGTTGAATTAGTTCCAAAAACACTGCAGAGAGGCAAAGCTTTACATTGGATAAAGGTCAACAGGTCTTAAGTTGTGATTGTTTCTGAAGCATTGTTGATGAC